GTTAACCAAATAGGTCGTGAGTTTGTTTTTCGCTTTCGTCCATTCACTGGTGTAATTCATAAGAGCTCTTAAAGAAGCTGAGTCTTTATGTTTTTTCGATATCTTGCAAGAACAGACAGTCCGTTTAATCGTCTGTTGCAATCTCCGTTCTTCCACCTCTTTGCCCTATTTGTCAATCATTTTCGATTTTCACCTATTCACTCTTCACCGCCTATCCATTCAGTCACGTTCCACTTGCTTCGAATTCACAATTCAAACAGCATATTTAGACGATAAAATCTCCTTTCACTCTTCGTTTCACATTCGGACACGTTGTGGCTCTTTGCTGTACTAAGGCTTCATTGAGGGTAGATGGACATTTGTAATAGTGATGTTTTACCTTTGAATTTTTTACTTAATCACTACACTTCCAGTTTTATTTTGTAGCCAAGTTTTCGTCAGTGGTTTATCTGATGAGTGTGTAAGGTTGGCGTGATAATAAGGGCGATGTATTTGTGACAATGCGCATTGGTTTGAATGCGTTACTCGAAAGTAACTTATATGCATTTATCCAAAACTGCTTTTTTAGGAAGATTTTACATACTCCTGCAGCGATAAGATAAATTCTTTTCAAATCTTTGGGACTCGAATTGTTGCGAAGTTTTTGGAAGCTATCAATAAAAATAGCACGGTTGGAAATGCGTTAAAACCTATATTCATTGCTCGTAGAAGTCAACAATGGTTTGTGGTATAACTGTGTTTTAACTGATCACTTAGTCATTATACGGTAGAAACACTCAACCTTATCAATTAACCAGCCGTAATTTTTCCTTAGTGGTATGGAATGTCTATTCTTCCTGTTTCACATTTTTAATGGTCGCTACTATCTTGCATTCACTTATTTCTTATTTTTGCTTTCAGAGATCTGATTAAATTTCTGAGATATGGGAGCATTATTGCAATGTTGTTTGTTACATAAACGGCTATTTCCGAATGCTAAAATGGCCAACAACACTCATCAAAGGATTTCCAAGAGGAATACGAAAGATTCCGGCATCAACTACTCACGCATTGATAGGGATTATAGGGCGTCCGAGTATGTACCAGTATAACGATCACATGACTAGATTTTCATATGGCTTTTCATCACTCAGCCGTTCTTCTTTGATTCGTTTCCTTGCCTTTCAAGCGTCATACGTAGAAGCTCGAGACAATATACGGGTTTGGTTGGTGAATGGACATTCATCGTTCTCTCTATTCTTGATATACGTAGCGCAAATTGAATGCGTTCGCTTGTTTGTCTTGCAAGCAACATTCATAGAGATATTGGTAACAGTATATGGTGCCTTAGGATCGGCAGTCATCATTTTCTTTTTTCCTAATGTGCTAAACACTGATTGAGTGAGCTTTTCAGGAAATCAGTTTACTCAAGTAAGGATGAGAAGGTGTTTACTACAGAGCTGTCTCTACCTTTCTGTACCTATATGAGGTTCGCTGCCTTGAAACCAGGATTCTTCCAAAACGGTGGCGATTCCTGCTAATAGTCCCCTGAACCATTGATGGCGATGTAACTGTTCATTTACTCCTTTTATCTGTATGATCCGCCTTTCTCAATATCCTCACTCACCTTTTATAAACACTCCTTCATCTAGTAGAAGAGAAAAAGTTTCATTGCGAAAAAGAAAAATTCTTTCAGTTATCATTGTTGTGTGATCAACTCAATTAATGTTCTAGATAACTGATTTAGGGTTTTTCGCAATAATTGGTGATGATTACTTTCTTATTCAATCCAGTTTGTCAATTTCTTTCATTTCTAAATTGTTTGCCTTAAAAAGTACTACGCATATACTACCTCATGGCACTAACAGAATTCGCTGATCTTGTTGCTTTGATTTTAATGAAGACAGCTATCCAAGTTGAAACCCTTCTGATTTAGTGTGCCAGCATAGGACATGAACTTTCTACAATAGGTAGTATATGATAGTATCCTTAGAAATAAACAGATTGTTATTTGCACATTATTTTGGAGTAGTTTAGTTTTCTGTGCTATATAGATCTAACAACCACGGAACTACGCATCATTACGCTCACATTCTACCGAAGTCATTCGGGCAATCATTCACACGTTGTTTTCGAAAACGGAAATTTACACGAGTTCACCGTCTCACTGAAGACCCTTGTTGCTCGGTGTAAACACTAAATTATGCAGTAAAAAATCATGGCCGGTACCAGTTCAATAAATCACAGAATTGTTTTGAGGTCTTTAGAATTCTGAGGCGGATAGCACAGTGGTAGTGACGTCCGTCATCACGAGCATGGTGCTAGTTCGATTCCTCCCCGAGCCAACCAAGCCTCTCATCTCTTCGGGATCGGGACATTAGTACCGGACTTATCTGGGAAAATAATCACTTTCTGTAATTCAACTGGAGATGCTCTAGCTCGGTTATCTTAGAACTAGAGAGAATTGCTCGACCAACATTATACGACATTCGAGATGACATAGGATTCCTCAAATAGCAACCGAAGCCACTCGTAAAAGTTGGAATATCTTCGTGGAGAGCGGTTGCGAGGAAACGAATTGAATGTGGGAAGTGCTGGAATTCGCACAGTAAACGTGAAGACGGATCAAATAAAATAAAATAAAATACAATAAAATAAAATAAAAAATTCAGAATTCTGCGCAACGCTCTCGCGTTCTAGTTCATACTATATTCTTATGAAGCTGCAAAGTACGAAAAACGCATATAAATTCCAAGTTACTTTCAGTTAAGAGAACTGAGAGATAGTTGTGAAAATTTGGAATTTCGTAGGCCTAGAGCTCCTGTTATTGGTTGTTATGCATTCTAATGACTGAAAGCTATCTCCTCACTATCAAATCCAGCATGAACTTTAAAACAGGATTTCGCCTGATCTAGATGTTATTTATGCAATAAAATCTCCAATCTTGACCCACATAGCAGCTTTCGATTACCGTTATTCTTTCTAATTTTATTTGTTTTATTCTTGTTTTCGTTTTTCCCGTGGTTATATTTTGGTCACCTGTTTGTAGAGTGCATGGCTTGTTAAATGAGCATTGGAAAGGTGGACGTTTCACACTCATAAACACGGTACAGTCAACGTGCTCACCAAGGCTCAGATGGATCAAAAATACGTCATAACACCTACTGTGTTCGTACTTTCTTCCTATTTTTTCAAAGTGTAGACATATATGCTGACTGAGAAAGCCTTATGAGGCCGGTCAACACAATGGTGGTTCAACCTTGCCCCAGACTTACCAAACTTCTCATTCATCTTTTCGGGAAATTGATACTAGACACATCTGAGACAAGCTCATACCTTCCTAATCCGCATGGAAACGCTCTGACAAGGATAACTTGGAACTCTGGAGACAAACGACTCAACCAGTCAATATCATTCATAACAAAGAAGAAAATCCTGAAGAAGCAGTGAAACCCATAAGCAAAACGCTCGGAGACTGTGGATGTTGCATGCGAGAAAATAAGCCGAATGACAAGAAGTGCTATGACCTAGACATTCGGTGTGAAATTAATAAGTGCTTACTTGGATGCTTGGATGACCCGTCTTCACTGGTTGTGCATGCCCCTGCACAACTCCCATTGTTTCGGGGCTTTACTAGTTTAGCCATTTTCTGGAGTCTCTATCTCAGCTTAGCCGAACTATGCCCCAAGTCGTTACCACCCAGATAGTCGCCGCTCTTGTGAATCAGAGGGATATTTGCCACCGTACGACTAATTTGATATGAGGACAATGGTGAATTCGGAGGTAATAAATAGGTATATATATATATATATATATATATATATATACTGTTAACTGGGGTTCCAGAGTGGAAACTCTGGACACCTTCTCAGTTAGGAAGACTCTGCTGGAGGGGATGAATCTTCCCGCTGTCCATCGCATCCCGACACCTACGAATACCCAGCCACGATAAGGCGGTAAACCGTTGGGAGGAAATAGATAAGCATATATATACATGTCCCACTATTCGTATGGTGCTATATTCCACTGGACATGAAAACTCACAAGGAAATACGACCGCCTGTAAAGAAATCGTAACGCTTGTAACCCAGGCAAACGCCCACCGGGTGGATTTTCTTGGCTGTTGAACTGTGATTTACAGTGGTAGTCCATCAACCAGCAAAAAATCTCAAGCTGAGGAAGAGCTCTGTATTCCCATCCGCAAAGCGTTCTGTGTGAATCACTACTAAGAATCATTGCCATCCTGGAACAATAGTTATTAGATGGGAAGTAGTTATGACCTGCAAAAGCTTTAGCATCGCTTTCGAGACTCCAAAGAACGAAAACCTGGCCAAATTAGTAACTTACTGTTGCAATGAAGCTTCCACAACTTCTTTTAATTCGTGAAGGTTGGTTATTCAAGTATTCACATTAGTGTATTACCCGCTTGTCCTTATGAAAGTACTTAGGCATTGGTTAAGGAATAGAGCTGCCCACGACTAAAAACAGTTTTCCTGAATCTATAGTATCTGTCAATTAACTGACCACCATATTTTTTTACTTGAAAGATTTCTATTCCTAGTTCAAATTTCCATTTGTGAAATCGCTGGCGAACTCACAAAGAACAGCAAATGAGCTGAATCGATTGCTGCACGGAGAGCATCTCTTTTCCTACATATGATTTACGCCATTTAAAAATTTCTCAGTTATAGTATCTTTCGCAATATTCAGTATTGGTCACTGCTAAAGTTGCTGTCAGTTAAAATATCCACTAACTAGTAGCTGCCACTCTAGCTTAGCACTCTCTAGTAAGTCCTATTCGACCAACTTTCTACTAATCATTCACTGCTTAGAACACTATCCCATTGTTTTTCCGTGAATGTAGGCAGGACTGGTGATTAAGCCAATCCATTCATTCTGTATAAGGAAAAATTGCTTACTCTTATCTTCTTACTAGTTCTTCGGACCGATATCAGCCTTTCAACGTTATCGTAGGTCAAGTAACTTATGAACAGGAATTGAATTCGCTTTTCCTCTAGGAGATGGAGCGAAGTTCTTCGCAATACTCTTCGAACAATATTGTTAGCCGTATTTTGCAGGTAAATTTTCCACCAAATCCTTTTGTTTTCTTCGGCCATTTGTTTATTCACTTTCATTCACTCATTGCTTGTAAGATTCTTCGGAAAATAGTTAGCATAATCGTTTAACACATAACAACCGGTCTGAAATGAATATGAAAGCAGTGCCGGCTTCCAGCAATAAATCAAGATAACCTAACCCATTAAATTTTGTCAGCTCGAAGGAGCACCATTAGAATCTGCAAATCTTTGCTAAGCAATGACAAGTTTTCTTCCACCAAGTTGAAAATGTGACTATCTGCAACCTACGAGATGTATGTTCCCGACCCTTTTCTTTCGTCGAAGGTTCTATTTCGAACATGGAAGCAGCTGAACATGCAGTAGAAGACGATGGTTTTTAGCAGTGTATCGTCGGTGTTTGTGCCTATCGTCCTTCTTATAAAATTTTCGTTAACATCTAAATTTTCACAACCGAAATTTCTAACCCCGAGGAAGGCGAAATTCTTGAAACGTCACCTTGTTTATATATAAAGATATTTGTTCATCAAGACAGCAGCGAACTATTAAAATTTTGTTCCTGTCTTTTGGAAACCTCTGTTTATAAGCAATATTGAAATTCACCGAAAATTCTGCAAAAAACATGCATGCACTGAAGACGACAGAGAAGAACCAGCTCTATAAATCAATAAGTTTCTTAAATCCTGAAGTGCTTTGATGATGCCGAAATTGTTGTCAGTTGCCTAAATACGAGCATGGAGTGTTACACGTTAAGAAAAATTGCGAAAAAATTGTAAAACACCGGTGCTCGGTTTCATGAAATACGAAGCAGGAGAAAAATGGGTTTATACACTTACGCGAATACCTGGATACTTTTAAAATAACTAATTTTAGCTAGCACTCGGACTGTTCGTGACAACCTCAGATTTGCCCTCGTATCCATCAAACCGTGAACATCTAACATACGACTGCTCATTTGATAGTGACTGCAGGTTTTTTGAACTATTGGTTTTATTCGATGAATGATCCGGTTGTAGAGCAGTGATTTAGGTGGGCTTCTGTCGGGGGCAAAATGGATCACTGGAAGGTCGCTCGAGGAGAACCCGACAGTTTGCTATGGCTAGCAGCAACTGGAACGACGCAGTTACCAAGTAAGGTTTGATCAAATCTCAAATTCTTTTACAAATTTTAGTCTTTGAGGCCATCGAGGATTCCTTTTAATGCCTGTTACTGCCTCTTACTCTTACTGCAATTTATAGTGTCTGCACACACTGCGCTGTCCTGTCTATTCAATAACTTTTCATTTTAAAGGAGAACCATATGTTCTCATCGAACAACGAGGATTTCCTGTCGATGCACTTATGACAGACGAGATTTCGTGTCATAGAGGAACCGCCGATTTGTCCTTTGTTTACTGGGCCATCGGTGGGTTTCGAAAAATTTTGTTTAAATAGCTATGCACTTATTTTTTTTTAAAGAAAGTAGATCGCTAGGGCCTTTTTACCTCCGCTCTTTCTCTTTCCACTTTCTATGTACTTGTTTAAAGGAAACAAGATTGATGGATGGGATAATAAATTTTCGAACCACAGGCATTGCACACGATGAACTGAGGACTTATAGGACAAATATGAATTGTCTCTGATGATCCTTACTGAAGTTATTGAAGGGAGCGCCGACCTCGAAATCTGTCTGACGGATGTTGAGGGCGATAAGCTTAATTGCACTGGAATGCTACGTTCTTCCGTTATGCCAGGAAAGGCTAACCTAAACGTTCCATCTACGCACAAACCCTTTCGCGTATGTATGAATTTTTTATTTTGTGTCTGCAAACTGCAGGCGTAAATATGCCTGGTATTTGCCTTATTTTATTGAGAATCTAACACGAGATTGTTACGACGCATTTATTCGGCTAACAATTCGACGTCTTCGTCTTCATCAGATCCGATGATCCGCAGTCGTTCACCTTCTCGATATAGTGTCTTCGTCGTTGTGTCGGTTCGGATCTCCTTCCGTGGAGCACCGCTTCTGTGAGACAACCTCGCTCGGCGGCTCTCTTTTGTACAAAACGGTTGTTGATACGACTATCCGTTAATAAAATTTGTTTTTCAACAGATAATCCATCCTGTAGCAGTCGATATTGGATAAGCTTGCACGTAACGAGAATTTTTTTTTGAACTGATAGTCGTCATCAGCAACAACCGTTCTGTATAAAAGAGCTCTGCCGCGTAAGGTTGCCTCATTCGAGGTATGCTCCAGTGAAGAAGATCTGACTCGATACGACGACGAAGACACCACATCGAGAAAGCGAACTACTGCGGACATCGACTTGGATCATCGGCTATAACGAAAACGAAGACGTCGAAACGCTATTTGAATAAAAGTTCATCAATCTCATGTGAGCTTATCAATGACAACGATATTCTTGGTGCATTATTGTCAGAATCTGCTCCACCACACTTTTATTTTCGGTATCCGCGCTGCTTAAGCCTACCATTATATCTATAAGCAAAACAACCGCAATAATACATTACAAACTTTGTAAAATAAGAAACCAAAGAGTCGCCGTTCTAAATTCATGGTGCTCATAAATCCATATCAGCTATTCTCCGTTTTTGAGTTTGTCGGCTTTTTGAAAACTGCTGTTCATATTCCATTTTTTTCCAGGTTTTCCAGATAATTTGTTGCAAACTGAAATCAAACGTCCTCGAAATTCATAGACCAAATCAGAAGAGATTATTGCTGTGGTTAAAGATCCGGTGCATGTTTTAGATAATGATCTCACCGAATACTCTTCCGGGAGTGTTAATTATCGATGATATTCGATCAAATGTGAGCCCATGTGGGAGAAGTTCACAACCACCAAGTGTCAGAGGGAAATCTAACGTATCTGAAGTACGTGGAGAAGAATCATGGTTTCCACATCCTAGCCTAATTTCATTTTTTACTTCGCTTTCGTTTTTTTCGTTATGTTTATTTTAACAGATTTTCACCATTTTTTCGTTGTAAGAATCAGTTGAATGGGCAAACATCAACAATTATTCCTTGGAGAAAAACTGTGGGCTTCGTCACACCTTCCGAAGGCGTCATGTCGAGAGCAATAGCATGTGTGTAAACTAAACAAGTATTTCTTCTTTAATCATGGATATCAAGTTGTATTTATTTCAGCTGTAGGTACAACTGCACCTGTGAGGACAATAGAAGCAGTAACGATAGAGTCTCTGAGTCCTTTACTATCTGAGAACCTGACTCTGGAGAAGTATGTGCAAATTCGTCTTTCTGAAAGTGAGAGAAGAAGAGCGGGAGAGACAGAGGTGAAAATGGGGAGCTTATGCTGAAACCATTTCTTCAGAATTCTTTCCATTTCATCAATGACAGTAGACGTACCGTTCGAACTCATGGTTCATGGAAACAAAACTAGTCCGATGTTTGACAGACGAACCGGTAAATTTACGAAATACCTTCAAAAATTGTTCTCTCGAGATGAAACTTCGCATATCTTAGGAATGGTTATTTCGGACTCTGCTAAATTGCTATGTGATTTCAACAATGACTTCGCATGTCAGTGGGGTGCCGAAATCGGTAGATGGGCGATTATTGAGAAAGGTACTGTCATTAAGAGTGATTCGGTCATCTTCGGCTCACTTATGGCGTTTTTTAGCCATTGGCGTGCAACGTTGCAGTATTGTGCGACGGCTTTCATAATCTAGTGCAAGTGGCCGCAGCGCTACAGTGAGTGTTCTCATCTGAACAACGAGCGCGATTGTCACTAGACCTACTGTGGAATTTGTCACAGCGTTCCGGCCTAAGTCCTCGCAAAAAAGAGTTCTATACTGATAAAGCATCAGTGAAGGAACAAGTTCATATCGCAGGCTTATGTGAAAATATTCCTACCCTGAAAACATGACGATCATCTCTGCTCCATAGAACACAGTAGTAATAATGATGTTACGTACCAAAGCATCATACAACCGATATATACCAATCTCTGATTCATTTAATCGCAGGCGAGTTGATTCAGAAAACCACAACATCAGATAGCTAGTCCATACTAGTAAGATTAGGTTGCGATCGGTGAGATGACTGTATAGACTGGTTAAATCGCTTACAAATAGTGTTTAGCTTTTCGACTGAAAATTGTGGTAGGACCCGGTGATCAACGTTTATTTTCATGTGCTATACCTTCCTTGGAGGAATCAGTGGCGGACCAAGTCTTGCTTCCTTCCTATCCGGCCGCTCTCGTGCTTCAAGGACCAGTTTTGCTTGCTAGTGATCCCATACGCTGTCAAACTGGACCGGGAAAGGTGACCATCGCAGAATAACTTCGTCATTTTCACTGACTCTTATAGTGAATATAGTACAAATAACTTGTCAAAAAATGTGACACGTTATCACACATTAGCTCCCACTACCTCAAATCCATTTATTCGCCATTCATGACTTTTCAAAAAAAGCTGTCTTCGATCGTTCTAAGACCGTTTGGTAAGTAGATTTTAGAAGGAATCGAAATCCTTTTACGTTAGATATGATGGTATTGAACTACATTAAAAATTGAGAGAAATTATTCGCGTGAAACTTTCTGAGCCTGTTTCGCGTTCTGAGGCAACTCGCTTTTGTAGACCATCTATGGCACATAGGTTATAGCGACATACGGCACACTGGTTAGAGATGCCCTTTAATAAACACTAGATCGGTCTACGGTTCGATCCTACGCCCAGACCCATTAACTCTTCCATCCTTCCAGGTCGGCAAATTGTGACCAAACTTGTCTACGAATTGATAAATGTGTCGTCTTCTTTTTCAGCAAGTGCGGGGTTGTTATTCAGCACACGTTTACTTCCGAAAACAGAGAACACGACGACATAACGGGTAGCTGATTTTTTTGTAGTGTCGCCTTCTTCATAGCCTGGAAGGGTACACTGATACGTAATTTCCTAGGCCAAAGGCTTTAACAGCACAAATAGAGAGATGAAAACCCTAAATGATAATTACACCATCAACGGCTTTTCGAAAAACCCACCGTTTTGATCTTTGATATGGGGTGGTGCAGTCGTCAACCATGTGTGACTCTGAACGGCTATTCTTCCTCGGTGAAAGGTAAGTAAAAAACGGTGGGTTTTTCGAGGACCCGTTGATCTTGTAATTATCGTTTAGATTTTCGCCTTTCTGTTTGTGCTGCTGAAGTGTTTAAACTAGTATTTACGTTTCAGTGTACCCTTCCAGGCTCTGAACAAGGCGATACTGCCGAAACGTCATTTATAATTCAATGCTGAGGTTAATAGAAAGTCGATCTTGGGAACTGAATTAATATTTCAAAAATTAGCTTTCCTTTAATCTCGATATTACTTAATCGACATGTACTCCTCCATTAAAGAGCCAACACGGGTTTGATAACTCGATAACGAACCGCATGGTGTGGTTGTGAAGCGTTTGCACCGGAAAGTGTAATACCGTGTTCGACCCCGACCCCAGGCACCTGCGGTCCGGAGTTTTGCAAATATATCAGCATTGGTTTTTGTTAGTTGAAAACAGACCTGTAAAACTACATATGGAACTCAAACAAAGAAGTCGCTTCAACTCAGAAAACAATTTCAAAATTTCATTCAAAAGTGCATGACATTTAAGATAATACTAACTACGCTGTGTGCTTTAGTTAATGTTTCGATATTGGTCAAATGGTGATATACTTCTTCAAACCTGCCTTATTGATTACGGTAGGTAGAACACCAGATTTTTCTTCTCTGCATATGTTCAATTTCATTTTTTTGCAGGTTCTGAAAGACGGTTGATCGAATGTGTTGATCAGAGTACGACCACAGGAAAAGAAAGTCATATTGCTGTTTTTGATTTCATCAAAAGTATCAAGGAACCATTCACTGTAACCGATTTCTTTTCTTCTGGATTCACTTGAAAAAGCAAAAGAGCACTGTAACTGTTCAGCTGAATCTAATTCCTCAATGGACTCGAGGGGTGAAAAATCGTTTCCTGGTGATCGACGAAATAGCGTACATTGGGGAGTGTTCAGACATGGACTCCAATCATAATTCAACAGTGGCTTCAGAACTACAGTCAACTACAATTCACGCTGCTACTGTAACCACGTCAGGTCTATCGGAACTTTAACAATGAAAGGATTTTCTACAGCAGAAGAGAAATCAGCAATGCTTGAAATTTTAGCGAGCCACAAAGCAGACTGGCTGATTCCAAGGCTTATCACTCTGCCGTCTGCTCGTGTTCCGAACGCGTCTACTAAAGAGTCGTACTCCAAAAAGAAGCCTTATCCGTTGTAAGCAACTGGAGATTTCTTGTAAGATCTTGCCGTTGCTAATTCCTAAAGGGTTAATTTGGTTTTCGATTTCTAGGCGTTTCATCTCAACAGTAGTCAGACCAGGGAATCCTAAAGAAAGAACAGTGTGGCCTATAACTCAGTAAGCGATCAGTTTTCCTTAACTGTCGACAGAAAAACGTGCAAAGAGGCATTTATTTTTCCAATAGTTTAATGCTTTAAGAAACCAGCCTTATTCAGGAAACCCTCAAGTCAGTGGATTCCAAGTCACGCCTCAAAGCAAGAAAAGATCCAGGAGAACTACTGCAACTCCTTGAATTGTAATTTCGATGGTTTGTCTAGAATAACTACAATGTCGTACTTGCTATCATTATTATTAACCTGCTCGTTTTTTTTCACGCGAGACCTGCTGGAAACTGGTCATTCTCAATAAAGTTCTCATGTAAGGATTCATATACACTTACTTATTGATCTGAAGTGTTTAGAGGACTCCTGCAACTACCTGAATCATGGTTTGACAAAAAAGCCATGGACCCTCAGAAATCGAGGGTATGGTTATCCGTTAACTGCGAAAACCGATATCCGTCCAGGTGACAACAGTGATTTTATTCACTTTTTTGAAAGGGGTTCTATTGGCTGTAGTATTTTTTGGCGACAGTTTGAATGACTTTGTGTTGATTTTTTTTGCAATTTTCCTGTTTTACATTTGTTTTCCAGCTAATATAATACAAAGATGGATGTGAACACGGAATTAGGACAATTTCTAAGATACAGTATGACTCTTCCAGTCTCACCAAACGGACAGTTCGTGTCTACGATTCTCGATCCTGGCGATATAGCAATTTTGGAGTCACCAAAAATTAATGCCACTCGTTCTCTCAATGTTCTTCTTTTTCAGTATTTCAGACCGTCCCAAATGACAACTATACGGTTATGCTTAGGTTCATTTTTATAATGTATTGTCATTTCCATTAAGCTTACAACTGAAACTGTGTTTAGGGTCAAGATACACTGTAACTCTAACTGATGTAGCGGAATTTACACGTTGTCCTTCCATTCTTCAGCCACTGACGTCGGTGAACATGTTACGATGGAACACCATTCATGTTCAGTTACCTCCTGGAACCACGCAGGTTGCACCTCAGATAAGATTTTCTTCTTTGTAATACGCAGCAAACATTGCTATATAAGAACGAGAATTTAGAAGAAAACTAGCACATAAAATTTGAATTCAGACTTAAAACTCGAGTTCGTCAGGTAACTACCATTAACTACTTATCGCGTAGGCTCTAATAGTGCAATAAGGGGGCAAGGATGAAGACTTTGCTCCATCTCTAGCCTGCGATAAAATTTAAGCAAATTTCCGCCACAGGGACGTCCTAAGCAGCCATGGCCTGTGTAAAATTCCTAACATGAATTCAGAGATGGTTAACCAGCAATAACAATCAATAGAAAGTCTTCACACGGAGAAAAAATCAGATTAGTAAGCGATCCGGCAAAACGTTGGAATTCTCGGTATTCCGTCCCACCTAGATCCCTAAAAACAATGCTGTTTCATACAAGCCGAGTTAATTTATTACAATGTTGAAGCTAAGAATTTTATGAATTGCCATATTTCATAGGACATCCGAGCTTCAATCACAAATCACTTTAATGGAATGTATGGCGTATGATTTCGATTCGTAATGTTCTGCTTCAAACACTCTTATCTCAGCTCATAGTGATCGAAGCTACTTATCGCGGTGAAAGCCATTGGAATCTACGTATCTTCGCTAGGGGGCATGTTCAGTGTCACACCCACTAAGATGTTAACCAAGTATTCTGGGCGAGGAGAGTTTGGAATCTTAGGATATTCAATGGCAACAGTGTATCCTGCAACAGTGTTGCTCCTTCACGAATGAGGTATGCTGGTCGCAGATTTTGCGGAACTTCGCGCTTCTTATCGACTTCCCAGTAACACTTTTTTGTGATGGTTTGCCGGGATTAAAGAGCTTATAGTTGATCATTTGATTTTCCATTCATGAGACGTTCTCCATCACCTTCCATTGATGAAAATTTACTTTTGGGAAGTGCTTTAACGTCTCAGTTATTTCCAGTGTTGCATAGAACGTCGGGAAAATCTACATTTCATCACAAATTACCATGTAATTAGGAAGTAAATCACTTTTTTAGTGCAAAGTACTGAACAGACTTCATAACACCGATCGCTGCGCCATTTTTTAAGTCCACGTGTCACCCATTTCTAGGGATTTCTTTAGTGTCTAATTCTCGCTTCGAGATTTTCGATTAGTTTTTTGACAGTTATGAATGAATCTTCTCCTGTCAACCTTTTTACTTTATCATCGTCCATAACATCATGTGTTTGAGACCCGCCTTATTTTCAAAACTTATCACAACCTAAAATTTTTTGCAAACAAAATTGCACTTTACGACTATCAAGCAAAAATCTGACGAAACGCATCGCTGATGTGGTGAGCCGTTTTCACGGCTTGCAGCGTGTGAAAAGAATATTAGCAAGGAAACCTCAAGCAAAATCTGCACTTTGAAGTCGTATATATATTTAAAAAGAAGTCTTAGAAATTACTTGACACTGGTGCATAAATCTTTGACGAGCCAGAACAGATATTATTCAGCCGACTATATTATATATTCTCCAATTATTTTTTAATGTGTATTCAATATCCACTAAAATTATATGTAATAAAATTGCACCAGCGAGTTAATTTTCAAAGTCCTTTCTAGGAAAGCGAAGTAGTCTTCAGAGTTTTCCGGGATTATTCAAGCTATTCAGTGATCGTTTAAATGTACATCTATACATTTTTCTTGTAATTAGCATCTTCAGTTCTTCATTGTGGCGCACAATAGCGAACAATCGGATACACGTGTAGCAGTAGGTCTGGACAACACGAGAGTGGCAGTCTGCTATCCCAGAGGTGTCGCTCCAGATCACTACGACGAAGTCGAAGATGAATAACTACTTGTCGACAGCAAGCGGATTCTCTCATGAATTTATGCGTCTTTCTCTTCAAAAGGAAGTAACTTTGGAATAAGAAACATAACAATGATACATAATTAAATTGATTAACTGATAAGGATGTACACTCAAGGCTTTATGTAAAGAAATTCAAAAACTGCTTTCAATGTATACAATTTTCTGCCATGTCTTCGTTTCTTTTCTGGATGTCTACGAACGGAGTCAAATTAAAATCGGAAGAGAAGTGTCTCGCCATAGTGTTACTGTTATTCTATGGAACCTTAAATAGCGATCTCATTTATTTCTGTCATTTACACCACAATGAGCTCGCATGTGAAAATAGATTCTGAGTTCCACTAAAATAATAAAAGAGAAACTTAGTTCTACCAACGTGTTGGCTGGCAGATGCTATTATATCTACACAATCTAGGATGTGTGAAAATTTTTTTACTTATGCTGTTTTCTCTCGTGCTACTCCTTTTCCAGTAATTTTTCTCGAGCATTCTAGTCTGATGTTGTACGATATGTTCGGTGCCACATGTCATTGGAATGTATTAGAACGGAACAAGAAATTTATGGTAGCTATCTCTAATCAATACTGATTACAATTGTTTTGCTCAGCAAAAAACAGGAACGTTTCGAAAGACCAACATTTCAAAACACTAACGTAGAAAAGAATTAATATACGAATACAAACGGGAGTGGTGGAATTGATAATGCTGCTTTATCATACACGTAACGTGTGACAAGCCATTTTGCGTTGTAGCCGCGTCTGGCGGCGCCTAATTTTATGTCGCTTGCGGACTAGGCCGTTTCGTACGCTATTTGAGTATCACGTAATGGAGAACATTATAGAGTTATAGAAAATAACTGGTTTTAACGCGTTGAGGGATATATATCATTACTTATTTACACGTATTTAGGGGCGCGTTTAGCTCAGCAGTTAGAAGCACCCTGAAATGCAAATCAGATTGAGAGCGCGCCCCAGGCCCACCAAGCCCTCCATCTCTCCGGGGTCGGCGAATTAGTTGCGGATCTGTCTAGCGGCACTGAGTCGATACATCGGTAGGCCACCGCCAGTCACGTGTAGGCCAGGTATGCAATCACCTCTAACGATATCGATGAAGTCGAATGCATAGCGCATCCCTCAGGCATTGATCAACGCCGAAAGCTTTAGAGCTTTTACATGTTATAACATTGCGAAATTGTTAGAGTTGCCTTACAATGCTAATTTGGTCGCTCGTTCAACTGCGCACCCCGGATCACCAAGCATCCAACCCCTCCGGGGTCGGCAAATCGATACCATACTTTTCTGGGAGGATAGCAGCACTAACTTATATCGGTAGGCCACTACAATTCATCGTAAAGGGAATATATGCATTTAGTCCCCTCTAACAATGCTTTATAAGTAAAATATACGGCACATCCCTCAGGGATTGATCTATGCCGGATGTTTCATCCTTTGCCGTTTATATGTCAATGTTGTAACGACATTGTCATAAGCATTTGGAAATGTTTCACAAGTCATGTTCAGTGCATTTATGCGTTTTTTATACCTACCCATTCCATACGATAACAATCACCTATTGTAACTATTGGAAGCCGAAAGAGAAAACTAATTGATTGTTGCTACAAGACCGAACTTCCATATGCCTCGTATGACAATGAATATTGCTAAATATTGTTTCTGGCAATAAAAGTGCTTGAGGAGTTGAAAGCTTAACAGACCTACAGAACAGACCATTTTTGCTGCCCCAGGTGGAAATTTTATTATTCGCTACATGTAAGTAGCCTGAAGTCGTCCATCGTTCTAGATAAGTGCTAATGAATTAAGGCTTTTACCCTTCAGCCACGTAAGCAGAAGAATATGGAGCGAATATGTAACAAAATGACATCGAAGAATCCTGTGTCCCACGCCGCAGAGTACGAAGAAAGTGCATTGAAGAATGATTACAGCGATGACGATGGCAAGTGTGATTAAGTAAGGGATGAATGGTCTAGCGGGATGCTTCACAACCATCTTATTCTCAATGACAATTAAAGTGATGTAGATCGACAATTTTACTTCGATTCACAAAGCCAATCGATTACTAAGAATGTTTTGGTCCTATATCTAGGAGCCGGCTGTGAACGAGACGAACAGAGGCGGGCTACGGCAGGATATTTTGTGAAAAGCGGTAAGTGTTGACGATATGAAAAGATTTAAAAGATTCACCGGTCTCTGATTTAAGATGGAAATTATTAGACTGCTAAAGTTGAGGGATTATTAAAGTTCCAACCCTATCCTGCACACAATCTTATTGTAGCCCATGTTAATGACGGATAGGGATTTTGTCTTTTATCCGCCGCAAATAGAGATTGTCTTTGGGAATTGAAGCTGAACATGCACGCTTGCAAAACACGTGTATTAACGAAAGCAAATCACTCGTCCTGCTTAGGTATTGAGATGCTTATTGAGAGAATCGTTCATATAAGAGGCCCAAGTGATTAAAATTACAAGAGAATGTGGTGATTAAAATAACAGTAGAATGTGAAACACTAGCAGAATTTTGGTGCATCCGAGTAACAAATCCATAAAGAACGGTCTTAATATGTAGGACAGAGGCTTGCGCACGATTCTCTGTACAAAGAGAACATCTCTTCTCCAATAATTGCTATAGAAGTCTTCCTATTGCTGAGGATTTGTTACAGAGAAGAACAAATATAATCGACACCTGTGGGAAAAACAGGGAATAGAAATGCTTCTACATCGTTGTCCGCTCACTTTCGTCAAGAAATTGGCACCAGTAGACCGAAAACATGGTTTTTTCGATGAGATTTGATGACATTACAAAGCGATATTGAACAGTTGCGGTTTTAGATACGATGGCAGAATTTAGATGCTTGTAATAGTTCCCAGGATCGACTTTCTCTGAACCTCGGCATTGGAATATGAATGTGTCGTTTTCTTGTTCAGCAATCGCGAGGTTTCTAAACAGCATACATTTACTTCCATAAAAACACAATACAATACAACGCTAGCTGACGTTTCGGCAGTATCGCCTTCTTCAGAGCCGCTTTTTCGTGACTTCCAATGAGGAAGTTTAGAACAGCTGATTATAGTCGCATGTGGTTGACGACATCTGGCCTTTACAATAACTCGAGGTTACTGTCGATGTATCGAGCCAGTGCTTCTATCTTCCCAGAGAAGCCTGGTACAAATTTGCCGACCCCGGATGCCTTGGTGGGTCATGCGCGCGTGGATCGGTCCTATGTGTGGGTCGCAAAGCGCCTCCGACCGCTGCGGCACACACACTCTCATCCCGTTATAGTGAGAATTATATCAGCTCTCACAAGCGAATCTTTCAAAAAACAATCTACTTTCATTTAACCTTGGTAAGAATAGCGAACATCATTTGGTTCCATTCATAAACTTGCACAAGACTACTCGAAACCACAGCTGCGGCTATGAAAGCCCACATGAGAACGGACGGCTGTAAACAATCGACTCAGTTCGTCGAGGCCCTAAAGAAAGTGAAGATACCAAAATGTTAGCCGAATAACGTTTTTTGACAGCCTATGACAGAAAAACGGATAGGGCATGAAAACTGGTGCAGCGGTTAAATGAAAACCGATTTCCAAAAGTACTTTATACATGTCCGTTGGCATAACTGTATACGAATGCTTGCTATCAAGTGACTGGGAAGTACAAGAGAACCGGCTCTGGGTAGGTGTTACCCGTCGGCCTTTATGTCTACTCTGGAATAACATAAGCAATCTGTGAGCATAATCTTGTTCAATTTTCGGAAGAGCCAAAATACTCCCAATTGGCATGTACAGACAAGGGTTTATTCCCTTCATTCCGAAAGTTCCCAAAATATGCAGCGTTGTATAGAATGACCATGGAGTAAGCTATTAAAATATATGACCATTTAAAAAGCTCTAAAAGCTCTTGGCGTTGATCAATCCCTGAGGGATGCACCATGCATTCTACTTAAATGAACATGGTTGGAGGTGATTGAAACATATCTGGCCTTTATAGTGAGTGACTCGCGGTGGTCTACCAATGTATCAAGCCAGTGTTGTTATCCTCCCAAGCAAGTCTGGTACTAATTTGCCGACCCTGGAGGGGTGGAAGACTTGGGGGGTCGTGGGCGCGCGGATCGATTCCACGTCTTTGTTGCAGGGTGCCTCCAACCACTGCGCCACACGCGCCCTCATACCTCATACGTACTCAGTAATCAGCAAAACTGTTAGTTTTTCAAAAACATTTACATGCGTAATTTACAAAAAATTACACATATAATTCTGCCACTTTTGAAATTTATAGTTTTAGGTACAATTTTACAAAAAATGACTTTTACAATTAAAATGGTCCACGACGATTCTTAAAGCAATGTAAAGAAAAACTAGACGGGTGAAACTAGCGATAATCTTCATGAATGCACTGATTAAGCCTTTCAATCCGGTGTTTATTAGCATGGAAAGTTACCAGCAAACGGTAACCAATGTGACCTTGTTTTCATATACTATCGAGACCTACGCGACAAACCCGGGCACTATCCGCTTATGGTCTGTCGTCTACAAGTGCTTAATCCCAGTGACCCACAACAGGATTAGACGAACAAAGGACAAAGGGTGTCATGTGAGCAAGCAAGTTTTCGAAAACCGTCCAGCGCTGTGGATGATGCTAACTGGAGAGTTAAGAGTGCCACCTCCTTTCAGTTTCACCGACTTAAAAAACCTAGGACTACGTTAAGAAGCGAGTATCCGTGGAATCTGGGTCATCAGGGCGTCCTTCATCGAAAATGAAAACCGTTCATGATATACATTCCAAATTCATAGCCAAAATATCACAGTAGCAAAATATTAGCTTTCTACAAATGTAACATCATCAACGTAAAACAACGACTGAGAAATGCTGTACCACTTCGTCAAAACACTACAGAGAACTGCTTTTGAAAACACTGAGATACATTCAGAAAACTACACCATCTTCGCTATGCTAGTGAGATCGTTGTTATAAAATCGAGCATTAGCCTAGTAGGTATTTCTGATCACATCTGTGATCAGAAATACGGGTGCCTCCACACACACCAAAATATTGAAAATCAAGCGAATTCGGCATACGATGCTCCATGGTAACGAACGATGAATAAGTGCCGCTAAAAGCTAAATCCCACAGGATGTCAAGCAGAAATAACACTGAGTTCTAGATCGGCCTTTTTCACGAGTCCTGCTTGGTACATTATACTAACCAAAATTGAATTAATAGCATGATGACGTGGTTCTGTGATTTCAAAATGCGGATGACTTTTCTTTACAAATCTTGCTTTGCTTTTTGTTAATCTAGTTGGTAATATTTGTCCGTTGGTACGTTAGTATTTGCTATACATGAATTCTAATGAACAGTTCGTATGCGAACCGACCATACACAGATCTTCACTGGCAATTCTGTGTGTCAGTCAATCGACCCTACGACTTATCACTTTTTACAAATTCCTACTCTGGTAAATGTAAGATCCGATTGCAAAAACATATTTGCTCCATATATATATATATATTATAACTAAGCCTCAGCTTAACCGGGTTCAACGCCGATATTGGCTCTCCAGATCAATCCCGTTGACGGGTGATTGCTAATGGCAAAAAGATCGATAGAACTAGCTGAGAGACATGCAAAGCGAAGGACCCGGATGGTGTAGTGGTGAAGTGCGCTGCTCCCCGGTAAGGACAACAGCGCGTGTTCGTTCGCCATTGCATACACCTGTGGTCCGGAGTTTTGCAAATATCTCAGCAATTCATACGAGTCATATTTGCTCCGTTTAAGGTTCATGTAATTCACCATTCGACCCTGCTTCGAATCAAATTCTGAAGTAGTTGTGTGGTTTCTTTTCGGAAGTCATTTCTGTCACTGGATTGAAGGTTTCTAAAGGAACTGGAGTATAAAATACTCTCTGTATACTCACCGTGTTCACCAATGAAAAAATCGAAGACCGACGTAGCAGAACCTATCATCGTATCCTCTGGACCCGTTTGTGTCCCATGTGAACCAACTGGAGCACCTCGTTGACAATTAACCGCCATCTACATACTAAATCAAAGAAAATCGTAGAGGGGTAAATGTTATCCGATGCACTTTAGCAGGTGGTTATTCTGTACTCTTTTACATTTCGTGTATATTACTGTAAACATCCAATTGTTTGAAAAAAGAGACACGCTTTTGGAAATGATGGAAGACGATAGGACAAGCAACGATTCCAAATTACCTTTCATTTACTTGCAATAACCTTTCACACATAGCGCAGGCGCTATGTCGTACCGTAGAGCGCGCCCCGTTGGCATCGGTCCTGGAGCGAAGCGCGTTTTGCCCTGGTCATTGGTCTTCGATTTTGAATAGCATGTCAAGGGGCCACTACCTATGTAACGTTGCAGTAATGTACTTTCACTGTCCCGTGGATTTCGGTTGGGTCTTTGACTTTGTTTCGTATTCAGTGCTAGATTTATTCAATACTAGATTTCATTGTCTTCAATAGCCGGTTTTGTTTCATTTTAGCCTTGTAAAAACTCGTTCGGGATTTTAAAAGCATTCTTTCCAATGTTCATGTTCATTTCCTTGGTTCTCAACTAACAGAAAGATTTCTAGTTCATGAATATATCGGATTTGTACATCCTTTCTTATGGCTTCGTTTAAAATCGGCCATTTTTTAGATGCCTCCGAGTACTCGTGATGCTTCAGAAAGAGAAGCTACTTATGGATTTGTTTACGGAGTATCTGGACCTGGTAGGATTAATCCATCGTATTTTTTTTTGCACGGGGCTTTTAAATTTTCTGGAAATTTTAGCTTATAGCCCTAATTTACGTCTGTGCTAATTTTTTCTATGTGGGTTAGTTACCTCACTTCTCGTCTTTCTTGATGATTTTTCCATGTAGGTTTGTTACCTAACTTCAAATCTTTAGTGATAGTTTTTCCATGGTTACCTTACTTTATGGCTTCTTGAACAGTTTCTCTATGTAGGCTGGTTACCTTACTTAACGTCCCTGTTTCCACTAATAGTTTTTCTATGAGGATTGGCCACTCTCCTTTAATCTTCATGAATAGTTTTTCTATGTGGGTTGGTTACCTTAGTTCACCTATTCACCAATAGTTTTTTATACTGCTTGGTTACAGAATAATGAAAACGAGGTAAAAATGACCCATTTAGTCGTCACAGCCGAAAAGATGGCTGGATCCGCCATGTATGAACTTGTCCGTGTTGGGCATGGCGAGTTGGTAGGAGAAATCATCCGTCTGGAAGGTGACTTTGCAACTATTCAAGTCTACGAGGAGACATGTAAGTTTTCCTAGATTTTACATTTCATTCTCGAGTACAAGCTTTTTACGATTCAGTAGCGGTCGTAATCGAACCTGCCCTTCACTCTCTGTTGTATTAAAGCATACCTGTTTCTTATACTCTGAATCTGACGTAGTGATTCTTTTCTATTACGTTAGAAGGTGACATTTATGCTAACATCCAGAAATCGATATTGCGCGATTTTCATTCGATCTGTCGCCTTATTGCCTGCATCAGGGGCGTCCTTTCACGGCGTCGCTGTTTCCTCTACGCTTTCTCACTTGGAAACATGACGTAAGACTCTATCATAACAAAAAAAATCATGCTTCCCATTGGAAAAGATAACTGTGGGCTATGTATTTTAAACCAAATTAGCGATTTGGAACAGCTACGCGGTATATCCTTCACTGAGCAAGGTGTTTCTTCGTAGGTTGTTGTTTTTTGTGGATTTTTGTATGTTGTTCTCTTCCAAGCACTGATGAGGTCTGTTGTTAATGAGGATATCATTTCTTAAAGAAGTTTAGATTTTACATACTATGTGCTTTATCTTGTTAGCGCCTAGGTACTTCGAGGTAGCATTATGCATCGTTTTTTGTAGAGTTATCATTGTTTTGAAGCGCTAGTGTGTCGCAGTGGTCGGAGGCTCCCTGCAATACACATATGAGATCCAACCTCGCGCCCCTGGTCCGTCAAGCCTTCCATCCCTGCGGGATCAGCCAATTTGTACTAGACTTGTTTGGAAAGATAGCAGCACTGGCTGGTTAAATCGGTAGGCCACTGCGAGTCATTGTAAAGGGCAGATATGCATTCATTCATCTCCAAACAATGCTTGATGAAGTCGAATGCATGGCGCATTCCGCAGGGCTTGATCAGTGCCGAGAGCTTTATCCTTTTTTATCGCTCTGTTGCGAACAAAGAAGATTAGTACATTGCGCACGTTAAGCCAAGCTGCGTGAGACTTTCGAGGTAGTGTTGTAACAGCAATATTAGGTTTATGTTTTCCCGACTTATTTGAGATCCCAGTACCTTTGTTAATTTGTATATGTTTATGGTTCCTTGGGAAGTTAATGCAGCAAATTCTGTAGGTGTTGTTTTATTCGAAACAGCAGATTTTTCGCAGTAGTTCTTGAAAATATGAATTGTGTTTTAGCTGCTGTCACAATCGGAGATCCAGTTCTACGTACTGGAAAACCACTTTCTGTGGAACTTGGTCCAGGAATTATGGGATCCATTTTTGATGGGATTCAACGTCCACTTAAAGATATTGCCGACATGACACAATCCATTTATATCCCTAAAGGTTGGCTTTTTGAGATTGTCACGATCGTTCATTTCTTGTTAGAGTCACTCTTCTAACACTATTCTTTTCACCAAGGTGTATCGACAAAGGCTCTCTCGCGAGAAGCCCGTTGGGATTATTCCGTCAGCAAGAATATCTTCGTAGGAGCTCATGTTACTGGTCAGTTTGATATAGTTGTTTTCATGTTTTTTTTTCAACGTTTTGTTTGTTGCCGTGACAGTATTATGTTATGAGAAAGTTTGATCTATGTATTACTGTTACTAAATATTTTTAAGGGGGTGATGTAATTGGGACCGTTTATGAGAACCTCCTCATCAAACATAAGATCATGCTTCCTCCTAACTCATGCGGTACCGTTACTTTCGTTGCTCCATCAGGGCAATATACTGTTGAGGCAAGCTAAGTCAATACTTTAGTTTTAGCTTATTTTTATAATGGCTGGCTGTCAAGGCCTATTTGTATCAATTATAGGATGTTTTACTGGAGATTGAGTTTGCTGGCCAGAAGGAGAAGATCATTATGCTTCAAGTTTGGCCCGTTCGTAACCCTCGACCTTGTGCGGAGAAGGTAACTCGTGATCATTATGAGTTCTTCTCGAACTCGATTGACCACTATGGTCTCTGTTATGTTCGATCACTTACCGTTATAGATTTATATTCTTTAGCTTGCTGCTAATAATCCACTTCTATGTGGTCAAAGAGTACTTGACGCACTTTTTCCTTGTGTCCAAGGAGGAACAACCGCTATCCCAGGTCTCTAGACCAGTCCTTCAATGTTTGCTTGTTTTCAAGTCTTATTGTACTGCAGTTGTATTGAAGGTGCTTTTGGCTGCGGGAAAACTGTTATTTCTCAATCTCTTTCAAAGTATTCCAACTCAGATGCAATTATCTACGTAGGATGTGGTGAACGAGGAAACGAAATGTCTGAGGTTTACTTATTACTTCGATCTACAGATTTTTGTTACTACAATTATTGTTTGGCATACAGTTCTCCACTTAAGGTGTTGCGTGACTTCCCAGAACTCACTATGGAAGTTGAAGGTGTCACTACCTCGATCATGAAGCGCACTGCATTGGTAGCAAATACTTCTAACATGCCAGTAGCTGCTAGGGAAGCTTCCATTTACACTGGTGAACGCAATACTAAGCAATTACTATTTAACCGCTGAAAATTTTTTCTACTCTTTTTTCACTTGTGTCTTCTATTTTTTGTTCAGGTATTACTTTGGCTGAGTATTTCCGTGACATGGGCTTGAATGTCGCCATGATGGCTGATTCGACTTCAAGATGGGCAGAGGCTCTTCGAGAAATTTCTGGTATACAGTTCTAGTTTCAAGAAATATTTCATGCAAAGTTAACGTTCAATTTTCCACTCTAATTAGGGCGCTTGGGAGAAATGCCTGCTGATTCTGGTTATCCGGCTTATCTTGCTGCGCGTTTGGCCTCCTTCTACGAGCGTGCTGGAAAGGTGAAATGTCTTGGAAATCCTGAACGCGAAGGATCGGTCACAATTGTTGGAGCGTGAGGCTTGCAGAGTGTTTTAATTCAGCTCAAATTCATTTATCGTATGGTCGAATATTCAGAGTGTCACCTCCTGGAGGAGATTTTGCTGATCCTGTCACATCAGCGACTTTAGGTATTGTACAGGTATTTTGGGGACTGGATAAGAAACTTGCACAAAGAAAACACTTTCCTTCGATCAACTGGCTAATTTCATACAGGTAGTTAATTTAGTTATGTATTCGTTCTATTTTAATTAGTGCTTTGAGATGGTGGGTCAACATGTTTTCTTTTCATAAGTTATCGGCTTAAGATTTCTGGTGTGGATTTTACCAATCGCATTTGGTTCAATTGTCTTTACTCACTTGCTCGCGTAGTAGGAAATTGAAAAGCTTTTATGTATAAGACACAACACCGTTGACACCGTTGGTAAAAACCAGTTTTATGTAATCATCGGTTAGTTAAAAAGTGGTGAAGTTGTTTACTGGTTGATCATTCATATATGGTAAATCATTCTGTCTTGTGGCATTTGGTATTGCATATTCCTGTTCGACTTGCTGAGGAGTTCGTTTAATTCGTTTGATTCGATTGACAACGAAGTGCAAGCAGTAGCACTGTAAAAAACATATACGCTTCTACACATGGTTCCCAATTCCAAATGAAGGTGATTTGAAGTTAGACGTCGTTTTCATATGTATGTCCTGTACGACGGCGATGTACTATGGGTCTTTTAACTATCATTGAAAGAGAAGGGCACTAAAAATTTCGTTCGTTTTTTTCTCAAATCTTTTCGTTCTCACTAAAAATATTTTTGTTGTCTTACCTTGTCAGTGTCGTTCATATAAACGATGTATCTATACCAGCCAATCACTAGAGCTAGTGCCACGGCTCCTAGAATTGCTGTAAAGGTAAGAATGACTGCTGAACCGATCACAATGGCCATCGTTCGCCATGGTAGGTCACGCTAAAATATTTTGGTTGTCGCAATTTCGGAAATTTTGTTTTGCATTTAAAGTTATAACATTGATCCAATTTTCCCTCTGCGTTTTAATTGGATTTTTTCATTTTTTGTACCCCACGTGTTGCAGTGGGGTACATTTTCAGAAGTACACTCACAAGAGCAATCCAAAGGCAATAAAAAGGAATCGAATGTACCTATTCACAGCTAATGTACTGTGACTATTAAAAAACCAGATAATCCAATGCAGATGAATGGGGCCATTGTTAATATGTGTTGAACTAAACATTTTCATAGTGTGCAGACTCACCTGATAGTATAGCAGCACAGCAATAAATAGAGCATGTGCAAAAGCGTACATTGTTGCCACTGTTAGGAATACAGCATTAAGCGAAACCATGTCCAACACTTCATATTTAATAGAAAGTAGTAGAAAAGCAATAGACACCAGCCATAATACACAGATACCGACATATACGAGAGTAGATATGCGTATAAGCTCGAGCATGTCAAGTATTGCATCCTGTTAATGCTATTTATTGCAGTTTTATCGGTATACTGTTACAAATGTTTAAGAAACCAGACCATAAATTTCAAGTACACGGTTGTATTTGGCACTTGCTCAATATTGAGGAAGGTACTCGTATTGGTTGTAAACTCGAGCTTGGAATTAGGTGACTTTGTTAGTGTGTCGTCTTGAACATGAGTGGCGTTGATTGTTCCTACCTCAAATTTATAGAAGTGACAACCATCCACTTTAAAGAGAGTGTTATCCCATGTATTTTTTTATTAGATGTTAAGAACTAGATGGAAATTTCGTGCTATTACAAAGCAGACTTACATTCGGGACCTCCTTAGGTTGTAGAAGTTCTACAGCCAGAGTAGCTGAGCTGTCGAGTGGTTTCGAATGTGGAATTGGTTCCAGTATCGTGGAGTTCTCGTTCCAACTCATATATTCATATCCACCGACGTGGTAGAAAAAGAATAATACCACTAGAACGCTGGTAATAAGTAGTGCAAATTGTAGAATCAACGAAACTATTCCAGTTGCCTTAGGAGCAATAAAGCAAGTGGGACTGAGATTCATAAGACTTGCTTCATTATCAAGTCCAGGGAAGTCATTTGACACATCCATTTTTAAGCGGTTGTTATATGGATGATGCGACAGTAAAAATATGTTGTGGGATTTCTTCAGCGATCGCCGGAGGAAGTAGAACTAGTTTGGCTTAATGTTGTTTGAAAAATTGGAGAGTATGTTTAATGTAGAGTGCAGTATGTTATTTGTGCCAGAAGGGTATCATGTAAAAGACGATTGGGCTTGATGTACAGAATTCAGAAGCATGTGTCCAGTCGCAGTCGCATTTCCCAATGCCCGTTGCTAAGGATACGCGTAACACTTATGGTGTTATGCGCTCATAGACATGTAGACATATCTCACTCACTAACTTGGAGTTGTGACAACAACAAATAGTAGTAGGATGGGGCTTCGTTTATTTATAGTGTATTTTGTAGTTCACTCACTTGGATGGCCCGTGCTGACTGGTTGTTGGGGACCCAGCATAATCTCCATTTTTTCGGATCTTGCTTGTTTCGCCATTGTCGTTCTCTGGAGTGCTGAGGTCAGCCAGGCCAATTTCTGCCTCTTGTGGTAACCACCACAGGCAGTCGCCGCCGTTGTGGATTAGAGGGAGATTTGCCGTCATGCGAATAGTTTGATACCAGGGCAGGGGTGAATCCTAGTACCGGCTTACTCTTGACTGGACTTCCTGATGTAAACGCCGGACTCCTTCTCAGCTTGGGAGATCGTGCTGGAAGGACGAATTCCCCTGCGGTGCATCGCAACCCAATATCCAGGAACACCTCCGCGGTAAACCGTTGGGAGGATTGGCATGGACTTTGTAGTTTTTGTATTTTAAATTCAGCATTCAGAAATTTATTAGTTATTTTTAAAAAAATTTGGCATTTCAGCAAATATATGCGTGCTCTAGAAGATTTCTATGAAAAAACTCACCCAGAATTCGTCGCTTTACGAACAAAATGTAAAGAAATTCTCCAGGTTTGTCTCTTCTGTATTATATCCTCTTTTTAATGTATAACTATTTTAATTACGTGTTTAGGAGGAAGAAGATCTTTCCGAGATCGTGCAGTTGGTGGGTAAAGCCTCCCTTGCCGAATCAGACAAGATCACACTTGAGGTTGCCAAGCTCATCAAGGTGCCTTTTTGAACATTTCAGAAACCGGTATTTGTGCTGCAAAACTACCTGTATTTCAGGACGATTTCCTTCAGCAGAATGGGTATACACCGTATGATCGATTCTGTCCATTCTATAAGACAGTTGGAATGCTTAAGAACATGTTAGTGTGGTCTTTCCAACAATTAATATATGTATTCTTTCTTTGATTTCGAAATATTAATATATGTGTTGCAAAGCTACGTTCCGATGTACGTGTTGTGGCTTTGAGTTCACTACTTTATATAATACCAAGTCGTTGGGAATATTAGTCGTTGTAGCTGCCACGCGGATGTTATGTGTGTGAGCCGCTGAGTCGAACGCCTTGACACGCTGGTTTACAACTTTTATGATTATAGTAGGAATAACAACAATAACAGTAGAGCGAGGTATATGGACGAGTTGGGTGATGTGAGCGAACTGGATGGACACTGGACGATCAGTACGAGTTTGGGTTCGAATATTTATCAGGTCCCAAATGTATAGCTTAACGATATTTTACGCTCACAAATGTCATTTGGAAGTAGTGTTCGCAAGCTATGTATTTATACAGTTGGCCGGTGTTGGTTCGACTCCGATCCCAAATTACCACGCCTGTCATTTCTTTTGGGGTCGGAAAATTGTCACCAAACTTATCTGGAAACCGCTTATACCGTAGTATATAAGTGGAAACGCTCTGGCCAGACTATTCCAGGACTCTAGGCAGAATATAGTCGACCACTGTTCAACGACGTTCATAGGGAAGGCAACAATCGCCAAGCAGCAGCCGATCCCACATGGGAAAAGTTCGAAGACCTTCATGTATGATGGTTGTGAGGAAACGAGCTGAATGCAAGAAATATTGAGATCCACATAGTGTATATGAAAACTAGTAATGTGAAAATAAGAAAAAGCCGCAATTTATTCATAACTACGATAGTGTTGTGCTTAACACCTTGGGTTTTCATGGATACGTGCAGCATTAGTTGCTAACATCGAAATTTCATGATGTTAGTAATAGTACACTATATAATGGTCGAAATATGCTTTGTTATCCAGGATTGCTTTCTACGATCTGGCACGCCATGCTGTCGAGTCAACAGCCCAGTCTGAAAACAAGGTAACATGGTCCATTATCAGGGATCACATGGGAGATCTTTTGTACCAGCTTTCATCCATGAAGTTCAAGGTTCGTTCATATTGCGATTGTTTCTCTTCTTTTTGGATTTTTGAGCCTTCATTTTAGGATCCTGTCAAAGACGGTGAAGAGAAAATCAAGAAAGAGTACGACGACCTATTGGAGGCAATGCAGAACGCGTTTAGGAACCTTGAGGACTAATAGTGAGACACATACATACACTTGTTAACCACGCCCATGTTCATATTTATCTACCATTCCCTTTATTTTTCTTTTTTTTTTCAGCGTTGTGATAGCGTGATCGTGTATACTGTTTTATAGCTTTCACGCCGTGCCCGTTCATCCTAGAAATTTTTTATTTTTCTTCGCATTGAACTGGAACCTATTAATTGAATCATATACTTGCTATCTCATAATCAGTGATAGTTCCCTTAACTTTGCATAGAATTGAAAACTGTAATATCTCATACAGTTTTTTGAGTAGATAAAGTTCGTATTAGTCAAGGAAAGATCTGGATACCTCTTTATGATCACAATGGGATGGAAATCTTCAACTAATTAATGCAGATTCTGAAATACTGGCTGGGTAACGTATACGTCAGAAACTTGGTCGCTGCGTAAGCAGGATGGAAGATCAAAGCGTTATCGAACGCGCAGTCGAAAGGACGATGCTAGGAGTATCCCGTTTCACACAAGTAAAGAACGGGAACCGAAAGCTCCGACCTGCGTCAACGAACAAAAATCAAAGATGCCGTTCTGTACGCCAAGCAGTCGAAGACAAGGTGGACCGAACACGTAATGCGTATGAATGACAACCGATGGACAAGAACTGTTAGTGACTAGATTCCTTGTGATTTCAAACGTACTGCAAGGAGACCACAGACCCGACGGTCAGAGTTCTTCACGAAGAGCCTAGAAGAAAGATATGATGCTCGACGAGTCCCTAGAGCGAGCAGAATCCACTGGGCTACTCTTCCACGCGACAGGAAAAAATGAAAGATTTACTGGCGCCCGCTCGAGTCACTCGATGATAAACTGGACTACAGGTGATACATGTCATTGGCTGGATAAACATGGCTAAGCGCCTGATATCTGGGTTTGATGCCTAATCCATGAAGTATTGCAGCCCTTTACATTTCAAATAAGTTTGAAATCGAATATACAAAGAGGTACGAGTATATGACTAAATGTAGGACTTGTACTCATTTGATCTCATCTAATCGAGTAGGAGCTACTCAGGTAATGTTCGAATTACAAATGATTATCTTGAGACTGTAGGAAAGGAAAAACTGCTCAGCAAACTTTCAGTTAAGCTGGAATTGTCCTATAACATGCGAGATTCTTCGTAAAGATCTACGTTGATTTCGAGATGATAATATGGTGGTGCCGAAAACTTTCAAAATATTTTACCGAGGTTTTTGAATCAAAGGGAAAAAACATCACTTAATAATTTACGCTCACTGTAAGGATTAGCGAAAGTTAAAGAATAGCAAGTCAGGTAGACGATATCCTTCCACATACTCGGCGCCTTTAGTCTGTGTTTATAACATTACTGAAGCACTGCTTGAAATATTGGGTTTTAAGCGAAAAGGTGGGAAAAAGTGACTGGTTCGTTGGCTTTAGAGATCGAATTTCGTTGTGATGGATGGAATTAACAGGTTTTAACGGTTCAAATTTCAACTGTTGTCAATGTGTTAAAGCATATACTGATGCCTTGAATGGGAAACAGCGACCAACACACTTTGACTATTCCTCAAATCTTCATTAATAAAGACTTCACGTAACAAACCTATACAGCCTATACATAAACGACGAACAAATTTACAACCAGATACACGTAATTGATGACACGTTGATTTGGTTGCAAGAGAAAAGCACACTTCGGACAATCGTAAGATGATATGGTTTGCTAGCGATGTAAGTAATACTTAGTATAGACGCACTGGAATAGAAAACTAGTAGAACAATAAAGTGATTAGCTACTCTACGAATGGAAGAAGAGATGTACATAACAACAAAAATATGAAAAGAAGGAATCCATACATATAAGTTCAATGAACCGGAAGTAATCACAATAACTTCTCACGCTTCAAAGCGAACTAGTAGATGATATAAACTGGGAATTAGAAATTAGAGATTATATACAAGTGATGTGAACTTAACTATTAACAAGTGAACGAAAGAAGCTAACAGATACCTCACAAAAATGTTATAGAAATATTAAAATGGTGTAAAGCAAGGCACTCTGAGATGAGCAAAGCAAAAATGCTGTAGTGTCAAGGCAGCGTTCTAGCACAAACGGATACCTTTACTTGTAGCGCCACTCTTCCACGAGTTATCCTTTCTCGCCACTACGGCACGACAAATTGGGCATGTATTCTCGCTTTCAAACCAAGTGTCAATGCATGACACACAGAAAATATGAGAACAACTCAACTGAAAATTTAAGACTATGGTCACAATTGACAACGACGAAGCTACATATGGCCATTAACTTGCCAGAAACTCCACGATACTTGTTCTTAACGATGGAAGCACAGAAATAACCATAAGATTTAGGTAAAAAGGGGAATGATGACGAAATACACGCAAAAGGAACAAAGAAAAACTAAGGCAAATCTCTTAAAAGTTTCAGACATTTTTTGTGTTGTCTCAATGCTAAACCTCAACCAAACTAAAAACATTTCCATCTTGAGAATTGTGGCCATATATAGCTGGTAATACGCCATTTATTGCCTTTTTTCCAATGCAAATGATTAAATGTACAATTATGATTAAATCGAACCCACTTTGGCAGGAGACGTGAAGTCATCATGACAAATTGAGCACATCCTCTCGTTGTTGATTTCTTCAGGAGTAGGAGGAACACCATATGGAGTCGACTTAAATGGATTGTATGAATGCAAGTACTAGTGAAATTTTTACAGAACCCTCAAACGTGAACGTAGCTTATATCACTAATATCTCTATCTAAACAAGGAGAATGCCCGATCTACTTACATAGGCGATGCGGATGGCAGACTTTACCGTAGGCTCGGCAAGTTGGTACAGTTCGCGAACCTAAGAAAAGAATAGAACAAACCTACAACATGGTAAAGAACAACATAAGGACGAAAAAACAAAAATGCTAAACACTAAAAAAAACCTTGAGAATGCAATAGAACAGCAGCAAGGCACCATTAGCATACAGGGCGATGTTAGAGTCTTCTACTCCTCCCATGAAGTAATACATCCACTGCGGTGCCGGGATCACACAGCGATACATCTAAAGAATTTTTAAAGAAGGAAAGTAATACTGAGCCTCTAAAGTCAGTAAAAAAAAATACCTGCGAAGTATACTCCATAAGCTGGTTGGTCTTCCTCTTCAGCACCATGCTTAATCCAGAAAAAGAAACCTGAAAATGTAAAACATTTCGAGCAGATACAAATGCACAAAAAAGAACCGAATTCAAAACATTTAAACATGAAACAAAAATCCAAACTAAAACCAACACTAATATCTATGGATTTATTATGCAAAAACGTAAACCAAAGTGAAATACCGTAACACCTTAACTGTGCAACACTACAGCACTTCCACTTGTATAATTCAATGTGGAAGCTTAAGCCGGCGCCAACAAATCTTCCATTTCTTCTCATCGCGCGGAAGGGCATCGTATTGGGTTTCGCTCTTTCTAGGGGCACGTTCAGCATCATATATACCTTCTAGAATTTTCATTAAAAACTTTGCCCATCGATGGGCACCCACCCATTCTCGCAGCACTTACGACATGCGGGAGAATGGTGTCGCGTGCTGCTCTTGATCATCGGTTGCTGTTCATATGCATTACGTGCCCGATCCATCTCAACTTCGATAGTTTTGGCGCATAAAACGACATCTTTGAATTTTAATCATTGATGCAGGTCGGAGCTTCTCTTACCTTCCCTTATAATTGTGATACGAGATACTCCTAGCATCGTCCTTTCGATGCGCATTTCTAACCATGAGTGACCTTTCATCCTACTCGTGCAGCAACCAGGTTTGCGTACGTTAACGCAGGAAGCGCCGTTGAGTTGAAAAGGTGGGCATGAAGTCGGGTATTCTCTGTTATCTTCACTACAACCTTCATGTTAATGAAAGCTCCTCAAAGCGATCGCTTCCTTCTGCCCAACGCTGCGCTAAGTCGTTAATCACGTTGTTTTCCCGATCTAGACAGATGTAATTGGAGTACTCGAATGTTCCTCATGAACAACATTTTTGTAAGATTTAGTGAAGGACCAATCTTTCCACAGGCTTTATCAAAGTCAGTAAGTATCGTTCCGCTTGGCCATCTATAAAACGATGAAATTGAGACTAACCGATCTTATGTCCTCTCGCAATACCTCAATGAGCCTTCTTGTCGTGTGGATTTGGTCCATTGTACTAAATCCTTTTCGAAACCCTGCTTGCTCACATGGCTGCACTTCATCCAGTATTCTGTCAATCCTGTTTAGGATGACTCTAGTGAAAAGTTCGTAGATGACAGACAGCAAGCAGGTACGATCCCATGTTGAATTTTGGGACAACAGCGATATCGATTAGGTAAAACCATTTATTTACTATGATGTGGTCTATTACGTTATGGCACTCTCCATTGGGAGACTCCCACATCCAGCGTTGAGGATCGAGCTTTTGGTATTGCGAGTTACCATGGATGGTCTTGGTCGTCGTGATAAACTCAGAAAGCTGCTCACCCTGTTCGTTCCATTCTAATCCATGGGTCCCAATGTGACGTTCTTCAGTCGTTCTTCTTGGTCAAGTCTTGGCGTTGAAATTTCCAACGATGACCTTTAAGAAGATATGGTCTTCTTCGTGGAACTTCTCGAGGTCCATACAGAACGCGTCGACTTGTTCGTTATAGTTTCATGTCGGCGCGCAAACGACGAAGATTGACAAAGCTGATATTGATCCACATCTCTTTAAACGTAAACGTCTAATTCGGGTTGTTAGTTGTTCGAATGAATCGATGACAACGGACAAACTCATGTTGATGAGACCGACAACGCCGCCGACCACTCTATTGTCCCATGTTCCGAGGAACAGTTCTTCTCCGGTATTATAGACGGCATTGAACGGGTGGCGTCGTCTCGTCTCGTCCACTCCGATGAGGTAGTACCTCATCCTACTCGATTGCATGACCAAGCATTCTATGGAGGACTCAGAAGCTAGTGTGCGTGCATTGTACGTATAGGCCGTCACCTTAGTCCTTTGCTACTTAGCAGTTTAGAGTGTTTCTGAAATTTTAGCAGCCTCTCTGTACTCGTCTTATCCAACGTTGTTGAATCGGGGGCTCTTCCGGAGTCAGGAGAATGAGGCTCGTTTCTTTTACTGTTTAGCTTCTTAATACCCACGTATACCTTGCTGAGCTCTGAACGTGGTCGTTGGGTATACTCACGATTAGCTCGCCAGTCTCTCTCAGTGTCGACATGGAGCTTATTTGTTGGAGGCGAAACCTAACCGCGTCCCATTTACTTCGTTGCAACTTGATTGCAGTCTTGTGGTCGAATTGATTCGTAGAATAGAATCTGCATAAACGATAACACACCCAAGCACCCACCAATGAAGACGCCCTCGTAAGTACGGAAGGTATGTGCAAAATCGGCGCAACAGCAACAAGGAGTCCACACCTTGGATCCACCTGCTTCCCAAGGAAGCAAAGGTCGCCTTTGGTCCACGACTAACCCCTATCCGCCAACTTAGAACACGCCACGTTCTCTCGCGACTAACCAGCAAGAGATGCGTCTATGAGGGAGATCCGTGACTTTTAAAATACAACACCACAAATTACGCAAGGTCATGCACCTGTCAAATTCTCTTAACATATATATCTAAGTTTAAACAGTCATGCGACGTAAAATTCTAACTGTTAAAAAAGAAATCTTACAAGAATTTTTAGGCCAACAACAACCAACTTGACGAACGTATCCGTAATCACCACTACAAATAATGTGAAGAAGAAGCTGTGGTGAACGGAACCCTGAAAACACTTAAATCAGTGAAAGGCAAATGAACTGCAACATAGATAGAATAAAATCTTAAAAATATTTTCCCTGTATTATCAAAACACATCTTCTACTAACACATTATGAGTACATGAAACACATCAGTCGTAATAGAAGAAGCTTCATCGAAAAGATTTTCAACTTACACAGTATAGACGTATAACATGAAGCTCTACTGATAGGACTATTAATACAGAAGAAGGAACGAAAAGAATACGAGGAAGAATGTTAAGATGGAGAAATTGCAAAAAACTTAGTTTTTGTTAAAGTGACAGTCTCAAAGTATAATTTTATATTCAAAAGCAATAAATTTCCTATGAACGAGAATAAATGAAAATGTTAGGCAAAAAAAAACAATAATAAAAAGAACAAACCGCATACTGAAGAAGCAGTGCGCTTTTCATATTGAATCCATCATTATAGAGGTACAGCCCAGATGTGAAGTAGAAGAGCACGGCGAACATCAGAAAAGTCGTGATGCGCAGGCTCAAAGTTGGTCGTGCTAGGAAACAAAATTACTCCCATATCGATAAAATTTAAAGACAAAATGAGCAGCAATCAAAATAGTGCAATGTGAAAAAAGCCACCCCGCCATTCTACAAACTGAGCCACAATGCTTCTTGATTAACTGACGTACACGGAAAATAATAAGTTTAGGAACATCTATGGATCCACTATTCCAGCTTGCAATATTTTTTAATCACAATGATAAAATACATACCTGTCGTGAAGAGCTGCTGAACTTTAGAATCTATTGCCATGAAGCCACCTAAGGCGGTGAAGACCCGAAACATCGGCAAGAAATTGTCGAGTATCATTTTTAGGACGAAGACAAGCACAAACGGAAAAATTGCACTGATCACTGCGAAAAGCTGAAAATGATAACGGCTTGAAGGCTACAGAATGCGTATGATTTCATTTTACAGATATGTGAAGCGTACACACAGCTGCTTCCCAGTGACCACACTTGCCTCATTTCATGGTAACAAAGCTCTTGAACACATATCTTGTTCTTTTCGTAACGAAGCAGGTTTTTCGGTAACTAAGGACAATTCCTCAATAACTAGAGTATTTCACGAGTTCAGAACTTCATGGATTTAGAGAACACACGTAGACTTACCACACTAATCGCATACATTTAAATTCCCAAAATTCATGGCTGGAACAGTAGCAGCTGCGAACATAAACGGTCGTACAAATGTTTGAAGGTTCGAAATACGAGAGATGACGCAAAAGAATAGAAAAATTTGTGTTATGAGTTGCAACCAGTCAGAACTACACCTCCGTATCTTCTCCTCTAGGAGCAGCTTCTTGCAGATCTTAACAGTTTCATTTCGTAATTGCTAAAAATCACTATAAGGTGTCATATACCAACTTAAATTTGAATGCAGCCATTTTTTCTCATCATATGACTCCTACAGAAGGTGTCGCATAGGTGTCAAATTGAGATCTATATTGAAATATAGGGCTGTAGGAGATACTTTGCACCAGTGTTTATGATAAAAAATTCTATCTGTTTTAAATCACATCACTTTATCTATCATTGTATTAAGCAGACCATGAAAACGTATCGGAAACAAACCTACTATCCGAATTTATTTGGGATTATTTTACAGAATATAAGAAAACCTGTAAAATTGCTTAACACTCTCGCGATAAGTGACATCTACAGATGCCATAATGACTATGTGGGAGTGGGCAGTATAACACCTATAGGTCTCGTTTTCTCCTGGAAGTTTGTTTTAACTGATAGAGGTATCTTCCTATCAATTCTACAGTTACGGATATACAAAAAACTATACATCTCAATACTACACATATACCATACATATATCTACTTTATACACATACAAAGCTATTTCATTTCTAATAGCTATAGTGAATGATAGCTATCGTAGAGAGTATACGGTTATAAAAAATACTGAAACAGAGAACCAATAGTTGGAAAACACTTCCAGACGCTAACACTAATGTGTTTATATGATGGACCTTAGTAAGATGTAGAAAATAGCACCACAGATATCATTCGTACGCATAGAACAATAGAGCAAACTTCTTCTACAATCTATTCATGTTCACAACAGATGAAACCCCATAGTTGTCCACAAATTACTTCTAATTTTCAAAAACCGGCAATACCGTAGAGACTGAGAATTAGGCGTCGTCCAGTCCGTAACAAACCCGAGATTAGGCGCCGCCGCCAGTGTTAACCTATCTGGCAGAAGCTAATGTTGTGCTATGTCGAATCAAAACTCACAAGAGGAAAAACGATAGAAAAAACTCTTTTCAACACTTATTCCACATTACTGGAAAAATCAACAAAAGAACTACTTACAGAAACCTGTGTGTACTAGATCTAATTATTTGGTGACTAGGTCTAATTTTCGACAGTTGTATCTTAGGACTACGATCACCATAGGACTGCGATCGCCACACGCGATGCACACGGTCTTTTGTCTACCTATGTATTCAACCATGGGCGCATGTGGCGAAGTGGTCGGAGGCGCCCTGCAATACACATGGGATGGATTCCCGCGCCACTGGCTCAATAAGCCTTCCATCCCTCCGGGGATCGCAAATTGATGCCAGACCTGTTCGGGAGGAAAGCAGCACTGCCTCGATACATCGGTAGGCCACCGCGAGTCATTGTATATGCCAGATATGCATTCAATCACTTCCAACGTTGCTTAATTAAGTCGAATGCAAGGCACATCTCCCAGGATTGGTCAATGCCGGGTGCTATATCCTTTCATTTATGTATTCACCCACACTTTATGGAGCATTTTCACTTCATATATGTTATAAAAAACTTATACACATAACATCCTACGGTGCTGTCGTACTGTGCTATTGCGACTTGCAATGGATGTTGACTATATTTCAGCATTCTTGAAAATAAATTTTTCCCACCCATTCATTCTGCGCGATTTATAACGACTAGAAAAAAGCTACAACTTTTTCGCCATCCAATCCCTACAACACATACTGCGCGGAACCTAGCATGCCTTGTATTCGAATAGTTTCCTAGCATCCACATTCCAATGCCTGGAGTCTTCCGATAACCATATTCGGGCGTTTCCACCTAAGTCTTCACCACAAGCAGCGTTTGTGGATTTAATGGAGCAAAAACAGAAATGTCGAAGCATTCTAGTGTTTAAATGTTGTCGAATAGCAAAAAGTGCGGAACAAATAGCAAACTTTCACGAAACGTTTCAAGTTAAAAAAATCTTTTAGGAATTCCCAACAACTCAGTGCATATGTAACTGGTCATCCCAGTTATAACACGTATCTAATGTTATTACTATATGAAAAATATAATCATTTCTGAATAAAATAGAAAGGGAGTAATAAACTAATGATTGCGAAGTTTTCCGAATCAGCGCCTTACAAAGTTTAGTCTACAGTTTTAGTTATAAATTAAAACAGTGCAAATAATGAGATGTGAAAAGTACGAATTTTCAATTTTAATAAATGATTTTGTCAAGTTGCTTAGGAATATTCTTAGTACAAATCATAGCAGCCTTCAATTTTAAGCCAACATATCTTATTTTACATCCAACTTTATTAATTGAAATAAAAATTAAAAGAATCTGTGTACAAGATAAAAGTCCACTCATTCTACCAAGATAAGATTTTGATTTTTTTGAGCCCATAGAACATATTTCTCTTTCTTTTTCTTCTTTGTTTCAAGGCTCGGATTCCAAAGACAGAAGCAATTTCTGTTCACTGCTGTCGCGGCTGCGTTTAAGACTTTAAAAATTTAGAAATCAATATTTTCCCAATGGGATACCGCCTCACCGTGACTGCGAAGTGTTTCTAACTGTCGAGCTGCGATGTGCACCGGTAGATTCATCCTCGTGGCAGGGTTTCCCAAGCTGAGAAGGAGTCCGGCTTTCCATCAAGAAGTTTAGTTATGAGTAAACCAATACCAGGATCCACTATCGTCCTGGTATCAAATTAGTCGCATGGTTGCAAATCCTCCTGTGATCCACAAGGGCTGCGGTTGCCTGTGGTGGTGAAGACCTGAGGCAGACTTTGGCCAGGTTAACCTCGGGATTCCACGGAACCACAATGGCTTAACCAGCAAAACACCAAATAAATGGAGCTCATGCTGGGACCCGCACAACTGGTGAGGACGGACCATCTAAATATCCAAGTAGGTTAAAATCGATATCAATCGTTGAGGAATAGGATTCTGAACACGCTTAATCTCCCATAGACATATGAAGTTGTTAACTCCTGACATACTCTGGTTATCAAAAAATTGTTGTTCGTTGTCTAAAACCAGCATTGAGCGTTATGTGTTAAACGTTACGCGAAATAATAATGCAGTGCACAAAGACAAATTTCAATCAATAACACTCGTAATCCAAACGATAAAAGGACAACGAAGAGAATGATTTCAAAAGCCACGTGAAAGGAAATTTAGCCTCTCAACAGATTGCGTATTTGAGATACCTATGTGAAAAAAGCCGGCTAACGGTGGTAGATGCAACAGCCCACATCAGATAGCGATGTTTTAGGGATATACAGCAAGCAACGCCAGGTAAACGTAGACCCGATAAAAAACAATATCCTCTTTCTTGATAAATTCCTTACTATTAAGACAGGAAAGAAAACACCTACAGTACGCGCATCCTGGTTTTGCCTTATCCTCTGTTGAATACGTTCGTACCCTCCACGCAATCTATTCGCCGTTTCACGAACTGACTCCGATGACTGGTCTCTTACTGAATACATCCGATCTGTATGAATTATACTATAGGCGACTAAATGGCAATCTACCAACCGCTTTCACTACTCAACGTCCCATCTGCTTCTGACGATTCCACGTGGTTTGATAACTCAACAGTTTGGCCAGTACCATCTTCACTAGCGTCGATATCTTAACTCAAAAGATGAAAGACATGAGCGGAATGTCAATATACCAATTACACAGAGAATGTAATACCTATGCGAACATCCAGCGTACTTGTGCGGTCACCGTGGTTCATCACTGCACGAGTGGGAGTTGTCTCTACGGGCTGCAAACAACGTAAATATAAATATATGATTTGGGATATGAAAAAGGCTGTGAAGTGCTTGTGTTAAGTAAAACAAGAGCTCCCAAATGTTCGATATACGTATAACATCACAGTTAATAAGTTTCCTGCAAGCCTTTTTATATACATCAAATATTCAGTTACAGCAGGGTTTGCACAATGTCCAAACTACCACGTTAGGAAAGGGAAATGAAGGTACCACATTTATGCCCAACGTGATAAGGAACCCTCTGAGCTGCTCACCAAGCCAGATTATCGTTTAACAAGAATACTCTCTCTTTTCCCATACTTAACCAATAATTACATCTAAGCTACAACGTCACAGCAATACTAGGCATCAGCAGATTCATTGTAATGCAAGTTTTAGCTTAGCTGATGATAGAAGCAAGATTTAAAATAGTTTCTAATACCCTACCCTCTCCCCAAAAACAGATGAGCAAACTGATTCACATCGCCGCTTCTGAGCTTCACAATCGACTCAATCCACTCACCCCATATAATCAGTGAGAACAAAACTATCCAAGGCATCAAACTACCGAATCTAGGAAAATGAACGAAACAGCTTCCACGAATCTAGAGGAACAAGGGAAATAGTCTCATGAATTACACTTACTTGTTGCACTTCACAATGCTCCTGATCGACTGTATATGAACTACTAGGACGAAATAATGGAACACTGGGGTCCATTCTAAGAAATCGTATCATTCGAGCAACACGGGTGCTCAGTCTAAGAAATATAATCGCAGCTACAAACCACTACTGTCACAAAATCTTCCAGATCAAATTAAAAGCTTTATTGACTAAAATATAGATACAAAATTTTTAAAGCATCATACTAGAATTATTATGATACACACATATATACACATACAATGGATACAAATGGATATAATACACAACTAGTAAGTGACGATATAGTGAGATATAGCATGAAAGTGAGGCGTATTCATCTAAAGTCGAGAAATTGAAACATATCAATGTACGTCTAAGAAATCTGTCAATTACATCGGAAAAAAGAAATTGACAATCAACAGATTCAGTCCCTTCCGTGTCCAGCTTTCTTCAAATTATATGGTACGTTATGGTTCTGCAACGTCTCCGTAACGAACCTGCGCGGCTCTGATTTTGAGTCTCTTCCTCGGTCAACGTAGACCTTAGAAAAGGAACTATACATACATAACGAAAAGAGCTAGAAATCTACTTATACACTTACCATATGAACTTGCTCGGAGCGAATGAAAACTATATAGAGCGCAAATGCTAGGGCCAGAACTTGACAGATAACGACAACGAAGAAAACCACCAACGTTATCGAGAAGCCTATACTTAAGGCGACCCAAATCCTTAAAAGGAAGCAAAATTGGGTTGCTAAGAAGAAGTAGTCAAGACACTGCAAACACACCGGTAGTGACAACCATCACATCTTATGTCACATGATCGTGGAGGGTCCTGACGAAATGCACGAAAGTCGGAACAACCAGCGTTTCCTCAAAAGTAGTGCTATGAAGGTGAAGAAACAAAGGCCACAGCGAAAATTTAAAGAAGTTCACGAACCACAGCAACGAAACGTGATTTGCAAACGATCGAGAGACTCCTGTATAATGCCTGCACCCTGGTAGTAGTGCTGCACCATATAATTTAAAGCATCCGATAGTTCAACGTCAATCTAAAAATACGTTTATGTCGTTCATAGAAGACTAGTTTTCCAAAAATGTTTCCATAACTTAACATCAAACATGTCATTAAACTACGTACTTAAATGGCTATTAGGATGGCTCGTCTTCACTGGTTGTGCGGGTCCTAACAAAATTTCCACTTTTTCGGAGTTTTGCTGGCTTAGCCATTGTGGTTCTCTAGAGTCCCAAGGTCAGCGTGCCCAAAATCTGCCCCAGGTCTTCACCACCACAGGCAGTACCACCGTGCGACTAGTTTGATACTATGACGGTGGTGGAACCTAGTATTGGTTTACTCTTAGCTGGGTCTCCTGATGGGAATGCCGGACTCCCCCTCAGCTTGGGAGGCCCCGCTGAGGAATGAACCTCCGCTGTGCATCACAACCCGATATCCAGGATCACCTCTCAACCATGATGAGGCAGTAAACCGCTGGGAACGTCATTAAAATACAAATAATGTAATCCGAAAAGCACAAAAGTTGGAAACATACGCCATCTTTCTTGTAAAAGAGATATATTCCACAGCTGAGGGTAGCAACAAGAAGGAGAAAAACGGCCATAGCATAAACTATTAGTAGAACACGACTTTCCGCATTCACACCGCAACAACCTAGAATACGTTGGAGAAATATCAGCAACAGTGGCTGATATGAATGATATAAAACCCACGATGGTGAGTCACGATATCACTCAAAGTGACTAACAGATCTCTAAAGATTTCTGAACTTACCAAAGAATGCCACAATAATCGTGCAACATCCCAAAATGATCGTGATATATGAGAAGGCGTATAGCGTCGGTGCTTCCCAAAATGCTTCATCGACAACTTGACGGTATCTTAATAGAAAAAACTCGAACACTGAACAAGTCTTGACCAAGTTCCAGTAAGAAACTTCCCAAATAAAACAAAAATTACCTTTCACTAAGGAAGTCCCTAAATCTACTGTCAGAGCGCAACCAAATTCCCATCGTCAGCAATAAACCACCAACAACCTAAAACAAAATATGAATGAAAAAAGAATAATGTCGACTTGTTCTCCTACCATACTTGCCGTTGAAAGGTGATTGCTGAAAGAGCCGTTAGAGTAAAAAACAGGCTGAGAGAATAGCAAAATGAGGTTCTCGGTTGGTGCAGTGAACAACGCCTTAGCCCCCGGAAAAGGTAATCGTAATCGCGGGTTCGAAACACAACTGAAGTCCTGATTTTTGTTTATATCTCAGCATCCTTATGGCTAAATTTCACATAATATCCTGCCATTAAAAAAATAATAGACGGCAAACAATGTTGAAATATTGTGAAACAGAATAGTTCACCGTAAGTTCTCAAGACCTACTTCCGATGAACCTGGGCAATGACCCAGGTGTTGTCAATACAATCTTCAGAAGTCTTGAACAGAAGGTTAGATAGGACTGTGATTCCTAAATAAATGCCGACAATGTTCCAGTAAATAAAAGTGTTTGAGGACCTGATCAAAATTGTGATCGCGGTGAGAGACAATACACGGCTTTTCTAAAGCAACGATTTTAGTAGGGACGCGTGTGGCGCAGTCGTCGGAGCCGCCCTACACAAAGGATCAAATCCTGCGCCCATGGCCCACCAAGCTTTCCATCTCTCAGGGGGTCGGCAAGTTGGTACCAGACTTATCTGGAAAGATAGAAACACAGATAATGCATCCGATCATCTCTAAACGATGCCGAATGAAGTCGAATGATGGCGCATCCCTCAGGCATTGACCAACACCGAGAGCTTTATCCTTTTTTATTGCAACTGATAAAATCCAGTTAGTCATAGACATACTAGTTTAAAATTGAAGACGGCCGCTTTTTCTACGCCGTGCGAGTGGGAACCAACTTAGGTCGGACCTTAAGTGTTAGTAACCATTTATTCCATCAACTACTATGACAGTTCTTAACTGCCACTAACAGTGAAAAAAGCAAAAAATAAAAAGCAAAGTGAAAGAGAAACGTCGCTTACGATGAAAACGATGTTGGCCGTGAATATGCCATATCTGAGCCAAGGTAAGCACGACCGATCCTTCATATCCGATTGCAGACTTAAAAGAAGAGAAAAAGATGAAACATGAAAACTTTTGCAACAATTCGAAAGATCAAGCTTTGACTAACCTTTTTACAAACTGCCTCTGACGAACTGACACTAAGTTCTTAAAGCTTATTTCGGCACTCAATGACTAACATTTTGGTGACTTCGTTTTTTAGAGGAAAGAAGGGATGTAGTATTAAATGGCTTTATATGAACGAAACCGTTGTTAAAAGATGATCAAAGGAGTGGTACAGAGTTCTTTAGCATTTAGTGAACTTTACCGAACCCATTACATCATTAGCCAGGTCATAGGTCAAAACCGCTTTGCAGAGACGGAGCGTTGCGAGGTCAGGTAAAACGAAATTCGTGTTTTTCAGAAATGCGGTGTTGAGCAGTTTGGAGAGATAGGAACATTACCTTCGCTGCTTGCATCGGGTGCTTCATTGGCGATTGGGTCATCGTTTATCGAACTAGACCATGTCATCTTATTATGATTGTCGAGTAGCTCAGTAGTTAATGATGCCGTCGAACAGGAAGCAAAGGCGCTAGTTCTACTTCCTCCCCAACGCTCTCATCCAATCCACGTCGGAACGTCTTGGCTCGGCCATCTCCAAGACTGCAAGGAGACTCGTCGACCACCATTTAACTACGCTCATAAAGAAGACGAAATCCTTAAGCAGCAGTTGAAACAGCATGCGAAATATAACCAAAATGATGCTGCGATGCTTGCAAAATTTCGGAGCACAGCTGTCTACGGTGGGCATCAAACCCGGTATTATTCTTTCCAGGGACTAACGTGTTCACCACCACATCATGCGAGTAGTTCGTTTCGAGTTTCTCTCAGCAGCATCATTTTAACCTGTAGGTGCTTTCAGCAATGAACCGTCAATGGTCAAAGTGCGGTCAGGAATTTTGTAAATATCACAGCATCATTGTGGTTGTATTTTACATCATACCCTGCCATGAAAAAATAAGCAGTAAATGAAAAGTGAAAACATACGAAATGTTCGTAGACCTTTGTGGAGGAGAATGCGAGGAAAAGGTACTGAGTGTAAGTGCTGGGATACTCACAGAAGATGTGATGGTCATGTAAAATAAAAAAATAACCTGTTATTAGCAGGACACATTTGTTCACTATGGCAAAACTTCGATCACGAATGAACCTCGTATTGTTGCCTCGAACATGAGTACTTTTAAATTTCGGACACATATCATAACCATGTACCAGAGTGCAGACCATTGTGTCCACATAAAAGGGCGTCTAGATAGATACAATAGAAAACATGGAATCCAATATGGCAAAGTATTCCTTTAGGCATGCACAGAAGCATAATGATGATGACTTCGGAAAGTCACTATCCTCCGGTAAGACTCAAGGATATCGGTTTGTAAATCTCCTTAGGTCTTTCAGAAAAGCAGAAAGCGATCAAAAGTATGTCTGCCTCAATCCCATACTTGACTCCCGACCGGATTCTGGAATACTTCATTACCCTGAGTGGATTCATAAATTGTTTTACGTGAAGAAAACCCTATTCTTTGAGAGGTTAAGCAATACAAAACGATGAGCGTTTTAACACCTGAATGTTTGCGCTTTGGCTTTTAGGGGCACGAGTAGCGCAATTGTCAGAGGAGCCCAGAAATACTCAGGCGTTCGACCTCTCACGCCAAGCCTATCAAGCCCTATCCATTCCTCAGCGGTCGGCACATTGGTACCAGGCTTCTCTGGAAGGATAGCAGCGCTGACTCGATACATAGGTAGGCCACCGCAAGTCATTGTGTAGGTCAGATATGCATTCAATCATCTCAAACGTTGCTTAGTGAAGTCAAATGCATAGCGCATCTCTCAAAGATTGACCAACGCCGACAGCCTCGACGTTTATCCCTTAGCTTTGACATTTAATGTAACCGCAAAATATCCACACTAAGAAAGAGTAGTAATAGGTCTTCTTTGCCGGATATAAAAAAGGACGAAGTAGTCCAAACATTAACTATTAAGCCAAAATACGTTTCAAAAACTTCGTGTCATGAAGGAAAATTCGTAGGCGAAACAAAACAACGTTAAGGCTTCCTAGTGCACAAACGTGCTCACAGAGCACTACAAATTTACTAGAAAATTGCACACCTGTCGTATGAAGACCAAGTGTTGCTTTTCTGATGCAGCCGACCATCCTCATGTACAGGAGAGTAGACTCTGTACCGCTGCTCCGACCTGTGGGCACGATGGAGGCCATCGGGTCGACCACCCATGAGAATCGCCGCGTGGGAATTGGCCACCCAGGCCGGTGCTCGCGCAAGCACCGCGAACGCGCCGCGCCGGTGCCCGCAGCTGGGTCAGATATGCAAAGCATCTTTGTCTTCCGATTAGTGCAACTTTATACGCTTCTCCTTCACGGAGAAATTTTCTTGTAAAGCCTTCAACCTACAACGTTACTATTTTCTAAAAAAGACAATTATATGTTGAATTGTCGGGTGTCCGAAGATCATCCAATCCCATTAGTCAGGTTGTTCTGAGATTAATACGAAATTTAAATTGCACTCTTTAAAGTGGGATTTCTCACTTCAGAATAGACTTAATTAATCGACATTAAAATGATTTGAATCTGCAGATTTTTTTCTACGAGGAACAAAGTTGTTTATTCTGTTTGCAATAACTAAGGCTATTCTGGAGGTGGTAAAGTTGTCGACGGCACATTCGGTCTCGGCTTAGTTTCTGAAGTATTTAGCGCAAAGGATGTCGACGAGATGCTTTAAGAAGTGCCGATCGGTGGGTGAGAGGTCCGGGAAGAATGCCGAATGAGATAGGGTTTCATAGCTTAGCTCGCTCAACGCTCAAACTGTAAAACTTCGATTACACAAAATATGGCAGCACGTGTGTAGGCGAGGTACTGCCGATTTGAATAGCATCCGTTTGTGCAGCTTTCTCGACTTTTACATCTTCTATGGATGCTCCGAAGCTTGGGATGCTCTAATCGAGTTTTTCTGGAAGTTGGAACAGTTCTACAGATAATTTCTCACAGGGAAGCGTTTAATTCATCACCTTCAACCCAGGAGGACGTCCACGACGCCGTTTACCTACGAGATCGAATTCGCTACGGCTAATTTTTTTCTTAATCAACGTTTCAGTGTGCGTTCATTAACACCTTCCTGACCCCAGACCTCGTTACGTTTCGAACCAATTGCGATGCGCACCTCTGAGTTCGAATTCATAGATGTAGATGTGTCGAAACTTTCTGTTTTGATATCCAAAATTCTGAACATCAATTTTGTCAAAACTAGAGACTATCTCATAATTACCCAAGACCGACTCTCTTCTAACTTCGCCACTGATCAACAATTCAGTGCTTTTTCTTCAATAAGTAAACAAGAGCATTTATTAGCACACAATAGCTGACGTACCTGCGGTTTCGCTTTCTTCAGAGCGTGGAAAGATCAAATTGACATACAATGAACTCAGTCAAACACTCAAAAACCTCACCGGACAAAATTCAACCGCGTCCTCTTGGTAAGCCTAGTTTTGTATTCTCATTTTCTCTGTAGCTGATCGAAAAAAGAGCAGCTTTCAGATAACTGAGGCAAGTGCAGCCCTCAGACTATCTTGTAGGCCAGGGTAGACCTAGGGTATAGGTACCATGCAGTAAAAGCTCCCAATATTTCACGCCGGATATCGGTTCCTAAACCGAGAGTTTCATCTTTTTCCTTTGTGCATCCGACTTCACATTAGTTAGTGGAGCTTATGTCCGTCCAAGTACTTGAACTCGCTTGCGAGGTTGAAGTAGCATATAAACTTATTATCGTCGGTGATGACCAGCTTGCGCAAATTCTTGCCTTTCTAAGTTGTATGTTCTTTCTGGCTAATTTATCTATGATGCGGGTGTAGAACGTGCCTGAAACCCTCCGTCAGTCTTCATGAACACACTGGTTCAGCATACGTTACCTTTCATAATGAAAGATTCCCGTTCAGTGGAGGACGCGATATCGCCAACTATCGCCCAATCTATTTGTTCGTGAACCATATAAGAATATCACAACCAAAATATCACCACTCTGTAGGAATATCAACATCGATAAAAAGATCTGGCCAAAATTGTTTGCCACCACACGAAAATGTCATGTGAACATGCCTTAATGTATGCATCAGAAACCTAGTCGATACGTAGGCAGGATGAAAGATCACTTAGCGCTAATGAACGCGTACTCGAAAGGACAATGCTAGGTGTATTTCGTGTCTCGCAAGTGAAAAAAGGGTCCGAAGCTCTGACTTATGCAACGATCAAAAATCAAAGACGCCATTCTGTATTGCCAGCCTGTCGAAGAAAAGGTGAACCAGCTATGTAATGCGTATGAAGAACAACCGATGAGCAAGAGTAGCTAGTTACTAGATTTTTTGAAATATCAAATGCACAGCAACAAGACCACCGACTCCATGGTCAGATGCTCAACCAGTCCCTAGAGCGAGGAGAACCCAGTGGACTACGCATAAATACGACAGGAAGAAATGGAAGATTTACAAGCTTCCGCTCGAGCCACTCGACGATTAAGCGAAGACAGGAAATACGGATGTCGTATAAATGAACTGTTGAAGTACACAACTGGATAGAATTCTTTGCCAATCTTAGCTTACCTCACTGTTATTCATGTTTTATTGCATTCCCTTATATCGCTAGGTGTGAGTAGCACAGTAGTAGTGATACCGATCGTCACAAACGCGTTACCGGTTCGACCCCACTACGGGCTCACCAAACCTCTCGTTCCTCCTGAGTGGAGAGTGGTACCAGAGTTGTCTGAGAAATGTCCACTCTTTGCAATCAAAGTGGGAACGCTCCGGCCAACGTATCTCAGGATTCCAGGGAGATTCCACTCCACCATCATTCAACGACATTCATGGAGAAAGCAAAATAATCAAGGAACAGCGAAACCTCATGACTCACATGGATGATGGACACGAGGACGAATCGGATGCGAGAAATGCTGGTATCCGCAGAGCTTAATACTGTTGTGTTTAATGGCTTAATAACGTGAGTTTAAGGTTTAGGACTGCGGCACTAACTTTCTTCTGTTACTGACGACGATGAATTGAAGAGTTAATTAGAAGAAAATGTACTGACAACTGTTCGAAAAATTGCAGAAGAGCTTACTATAAGCATCGCGACTGTTCCCTACTCCTAAGGAAAATTTGAATGCTGAAGAAGCTCGAGAAATTGATACCGCGCGAACCAAATGAAAATCCAGAAGCCGCCGTTTTGAGGTGTCGATGACAGCCCTTCTGTAAAACTCGAACAACACGTTTGACCATTATTGTGACATGCGATGAGAAATATATCCTCTGGGAACATCGGCGGCGAAGAACTCAATGGAAGGACCGCGATGATGGTTTGCAGTACCTCCCAAAACCCTAGCAAGAAGGCTATGCTGACTGCCTAGTGATTTGCTGCTGGGTTAATCTATCAGAGTGCACTGGATCCTGGTGAAAAGATTACGGCGGAGAAGTACCTCCATCAAATTGATGAAATGCACCACAAACTTCGAGTGCTGCGCTCTCATCGGTCAACAGGAAGGAACCATTGCTCCTTCAGGATAACGTGGGCACACTCACCACAGAACAGGCGCTACAAATGCTGGACGAGCTGCGCTATGAAATTTCGCTTATCCGGCCATACTCATTGGATCTCTTGCCACCACTTCGTTAAGCACTTGGATAACTTCCTGTGTGAAAAATGCTTCAGAGACCAAACCGAGTTCGAGAATACCCTCAGATAATCTTGTCGTTTCCCGAACCCCAGAGTTCTAAGTAATTGAAACATATAAGACGTCTTCTCGTTAGCAAACATTCTGTAGATTATAATGGCTCTTATTTTGATTACCATTCTCTGTTCCGGATTGAGACATGGTAATGGTACATTTCGAAGCCGTCCTCTAGTTTCCCAACAACCTAATAGGTACAGCTATTGCGAAAAATAGTTTTGTTTAACACTCTCGCGAATACACCTAATCTTAGGTTTGTAGCCGACTGGACGACGGCCAATTTCAGCCTTTGTAAACTTGTTGGTTTTTTTTAAAATAAACGATGATTTTTCGACATCTAGAGAACTTAGTGGTTGTAAACATAAATGCATTATAGAAAAGACTGCGCCATCGTTCTATGTGTATAAATGGTAATTATGGTGTTATTTTCTATATGTTACTATGGTTGATCATGTAGACATATTACTCTCAACATTTGGATGTGTTCTGCAACTTGCAACTCTCCATTTCAGTATTTCTTTACATCAGTACAGCCTGTAAGATCATACGCTGTAGCAACTATAGTTGAAATAGCAGCAAATTTACGCACAAATTTCTGGCTAGTGAACTCACTCTGAAAGCGGATTTTTTGTACGTTTTTGTTTGCATTTGTATAGCTCCCAGAACCAACTTTTTATTAACCTCGGCATTGGATTATAAATTTGTCGTTTTCTCTCTCAGCAATCCCGTGGTTATTAAACAGCTTACGCTTACTTCCTTACAATACCACACATACAACGCAATCGTAGCCGACGTTTCGGCAGAATCGCCTTCTTCAGAGCCGTTCCTACGTATCTTCCATCAGTTGATCAACGGCTCTTCCTCACTGGCTTCCTGATGGAAACGCCGGGCTCCTCAGCTTGGGAGACCCTGCCAAGAGAAAAACCCCCCGCTGTACATCGCAGTCCGACACCCAGGAACACCCTCAGCCATGATGAGGCGGTAAACCGTTGGGAGGGGTAGCAGACTTGTCCTCACTAAAGTTTGAATACTAATTGTTATCGTGCGCACTACCAACTATGCTCCTCAAAAGTCATAAATTTAACCGAGTGTGTATATCTTCCATCTCAATCTCACATATGTCAAATTCGAGTATTCTAATTGTAAGCTATTTTTTAAACAACTGTAGGTTATAACTACTGTAATGCGGAGATATTTGCAAAACTCCGGACTGCAGGTGTCTGCGGTGGGGAACGAACGCGCTATTGTCCTTTCCGGGTAGTAACGCGCTCCCCGAAAAGGACAATAGCGCGTTCGTTCCCCGCCGCAGATACCTGCAGTCCGGGGCTTTGCAAATATCTCAGCATTACAGTAGTTATATTTCGCAAAATACCCTGCCGTTAAAAAGAATAGGCAGTAAATAAAAAGATTAAAACTGTAGGATAACTTTTGATGACAAGGTGCACTCTCAATTACAGTTCGGACTCGGCATTCCCTGGCGAGCTAACCATGGTTGTCTTCTCGTCATGAGCAATAGGAGCAAAACCCTATGTATCAAACGCGTCAAGCTCTTCTCTGCCCATCGGAGAAGCGCAGTCCATTGAGCAGCACTGACATGTAGAAAGACAAATGGAGATGTTTCCGGTGCTCACTCAAGTTGTTTGAGTAAATTAACGGAATTATAGGAGATGTGGACGGTTTTGATTGATAGTAATGGGTAATGCTTGGCCGAGTATCCGGATGGAAATTTTGAAACGCTTCTCACTTTTGGATTTAGATGGCCTACCTTTGTCCAACATGCAGTTATCGCTACTTCTACTCGTTTCATTATCTTGCAGTTGCAGACTATGACGGCATTAGGGTTCTACTTCATTTTCTTTTCTTTTTTGGAAAATTTTTGCAGACCTGTTGCAGAAAGGGAATTGATGGTGGTGAGAAATAATTAAGCTTGCAACCACATCACCTTTAATGGTATTTTATTATTTCTGCTGTTACTACAAGAGAAACGTTTAAAAATAAAACACCCGATATTGAGAGACATCCACATGAATCAGCATGCACTCGCATGAAAAATCGATTTATTGCTCGACTATTAAACTTAAACTGTCCAAAATTCCGAACAGTCTCATAAAGTAAATGATTGGAAATATCGTATACAAGAATCGTACGCATATGGTTAGTATGGCCAGGTTTGAGCAGCAGTGACAACGCAAACAAGAGGAAAGGCGCATTCACGAACCCAACCACAAGGTCTTCAGAATTCAGCATGAACATCTTCACTTTCGTGTTTAAACATTGTGTTGTCGAAAAGTCAAAACAGACGAACAGAAAAATACCCATATCAAAATGGACGGAGGCTCACAATAAGGACTGTGATGGCGACAGAAGACGATTGGAAAGTGCGGTAACGAAATGTGGCATTGGCTGAACAGGTGATGAGGAGAGGACAAAATGTTTAGCTTGTTTCAGAAGAGACCACTAACCATAATCATGACCAGAATTATGGAAATTTGAAGGGTTCAACAAGAATCAGTGCATGAGCACGAAAAGGTTAAGGATGTCGAGTTTCCTATGAGGTTGAATCGAATGAAAAATAAATGATAAGCGTAAAAGAATAAGCATGCAAGGTACACAAACTGAGAACACAAAAAAACATTTGAAGAAGGTGAGCAAAGGAGGCGAATCGAAGGCATTTTTGTTATAAAGAAGAGAAGAGAAAAAAAGGCCAATTGCGGTCACTGTAGCTACGACTATCGCAAAACTTTAAATTCTTTAGCTCAACAAGAAAAACCTGCACTTTCATGGAATTAGAAATTTAAAAGCTACCTAACAATCTAAAACGGATATTATGTCGCTGACTTGTTGAAAGCATCGTGGACAATGACTGATGGAATTTCCGTCTTAACATCGCCAATCCACCAAAGTCGCAAAAAAGAGAAGTGTCGCTAGTAGTAAAACTTCTAACAACGCTGAAGTAAGCTCATTCTTATTTATAATTAGAAGTCAAAGCGAAATGACATTTTTGTTGCAATAAATATGTCATCGTCGAAAGAAAATTACAAAAATTACAAAGAATGAAAAAATCGCAGGAACTGAACACGAAAGTGAGAGGATCAGTTTCTACTGGTAGGGATTCGGCATTACCGATGTAAAGTTTATGGAGGCTCAAGAGCTTCCGTTTTGATTTCTGTTAGCACAATCAGATCCCGATAGATCGTAATGTGAGAACACATGCTCCACCCTCATGTCACAACTGTAATTAACACACATGATTTGTTACGGATGAGCTCATCCATGACCAGCGTACAGTTCTTGCATTCTAAACAATTTTCACATTTTCACATGCAACTGTACCCAGCTCAAGAGGAGAATTCCTACCGTTTGAATATGAAACACTAAACTAAAAATACTTAGAAACAACGCCATATACACATTTAATCCTAGTTTCAATCAATGAAATTTAAAAATGTGAAGCAAACTCACAAATCCTAGGCACAAAACAGAAGATAGACGAGGGAGGGATCTAAGCAGAAAAATTCACATAATTCATTTCCTATTAGAAAGGTTAACCGAGGTGGTACAATATAATTGAGACAGTGTAGTACTATCTCGGCAACCTACATATTTGTCTCTGAGCACTCAGGCGTATACTCTGTTCAATGTCTACTTGTGTGAAAAGACGAAGCAAGAAATCGCTTCTAAGTGAACGGAGAAGGGCCGTCAGAAGTGACACACTCGAGAGACCAGACAAGCAGCACCACAAGAAGAAACGTTCAGATTTAAACCAGTATCATTATTGTATCACAGCAACAGCAAGCATGACGGCCACAACAACCGTATTCTGGAATTGTGGCATGTGGATGCTGGCAGAGACGACAGCAAGTACACGTCGGTCATGAGCCGTGTTACGGGAGCACTGACGTCGTTGAAACTCGCAGTGCTGTCGAGAAGGGTAGAAGTCGTGCGTCGTTGGCGGCCGATGCGTCAGGTCGCCGTCCACAACCATTCCGCGCAGATCGCACGGATGCACACAACCGCAACGCGACGCCTTTTCTTGCTCTTGCGGCAACGGAATGTCCAAATCTGAAAGAGGAAATTGAATATGGATTTGTTATTGAACAGTTCTGCCTTGTACTTAGAATTAAATCATTTCAGAACTCGACGAGATAACAGTAAAGCTTGTAAGGATAGAGTTAGGATAGTGACTATGAGTATGACTAGACTTGAACAGTTGAACTTGGATCAAATTTGGAAACTCGGCATTCATAGCAGAAAGAACAGCAAATGAAGCACCACATTATGGCTCCCGGGGGGTTACTTTTATGTGCATAATTACGCTTCAGTCTCAAAACAATTCCAGCCTTCTCTCCCAACCAAAAATCCAGAAGATAGAAGGAATACCGCAACAATTCCTTCCAAAAATTAAAAAGCAACTGTTCTCAGTAAACACGCATACAACAACAATCTCATCACTTTCTATCTATCACGAAGCTTTCTACCACTGCGAAATATCGAAATGTATATTTCCTCCAATAAATTAATGAACTGTTTTACAGCAATGAAGAACAGCAACTATTTTCGGAAAAAATTTTTTAGCAATTCTATACAAATTAATTCAGGTTCATACTTTGTATTTAAATTTTTGTCATTATTCTTTATATACTTTTTGATATTTTCATGAGTCATGCAAGTGTCTAAGAGGTTTCCCAGAGAGACGTGATCGAACAGCATAAGCAACGCATGAGAAAGCGATAGAAGGCATCGCAAAATGTTTAAAATATTCGACATGAGGGTTCTACTTCTTTGCAGAGGAGTAAGTTAGCGGTCTTCGTCATCTTGTTCGATAACTAATCGCAGCCTATTAATTTAGGTACATACTGTTGTGCTTTGTACGACCAATCGTTCTGCTTCACATTGCTTCCTTCTACTCTTGCCCCATTTCGTTATTGCGTCTCTACCACTACAATTTCTCATCATTAACGTAACGATAATTTCAGCGTGTGCTGACTACTCTGAGTGAATCATTGCTGTACGCATCTGGTTTAATGTTAAATTTCCAATGTTTTAATCTTGCTGGTTATATCTTAATGATTCCATATATCGGTTGCATACAAGCATACAAGCCTTAACACCGTCATGAAGAAATTTAACGAAACCATATTTTCGTGTATGGCTTAAGGAAAGACATTGTCAAAAACCTATCAGAATCAGCTAGTAATTTGCGATAAAACACTGCAATTATGCCTTCTGACGAGGGCAAGCAAAAGTGTAGAAAATTCTATCAACGCTTGAAAACGCTTTGATTGTCCACGTGTTAAACACAGCAGACTTCAGCAATGTTTTTCAAAGCTATCAAAACTTTAGGTTAGCGAGCAAAGACCTGGGTGACCCTGACATGATGTACACAACAGCTAATAATGAGGCGAACTATCAGCAAAATATAAGTGAACAAACACGAAACAATACCTCTACACTGAAACGAAGGATGTCCAGCATAGTCGACAACTTTCGATGTGGCGAGGTGAGGGCAAGCAAGTTGAGCATAGTAGCACCAGTTAACGCACGGCGGTTCCCGCCAAATGGACACGGTTTGGACTAGCAACCAACGTTTGTACCATGACTGAAAACAGCCTGAACTGACTTTAAAGGACTGGGGATAAGAGGAGGCGTCCTCCGAAAAGAGCGTCAAGTGCGGAAGGTTAGAATATAAAGAGCGGAGCAGTTTCGCTCAACAGTTGAGATAGAATTGAGATCGTGTGAACCGAGGCACTCTTCTATGTAAGTGCTCTCAGTCCCTTCAATTCGTAACAGAGAGTTTGTGGAGAGTGCCAGTCATGTTTACTGGTGCTCTGAATTTTCGTTTGTTCACAGATGTCACTCATATAATCGCAATGAATATGTACACGCCGAGTGCCACTCATTCAACATTGTGAACAAAACGCGTTTCCCACCCCAGTTCGACAATTACATGTCCACACATTTAATGAGCCACTCATTATTCCTGAGGCACGACCACCAAGTCATACCAAATCGCTTACAAGGAAGTGTGGTTGCAAAAGGGCAAGCAATAATTCAAATAACAATACTTGAACCAGAACGTTCGCAGAAAGCACTTCTCTTTCAACAAATACTAAAAAGAAGGGAAGATGTAATGACCTGTTAAAACCGTGTTTTCCAAAGTACCACAAGATGAGAACTAATGAGGAAAAAAAAATTGTAATAACGGAACTATTTCTGCTGCTGTGAGCTAAAGAAGTTAAATAGAACGAAATCACCGGAAGTACCATAAGCATTGTTAAAGACGATTAATGAGTTATAACCACTTGTAATTCCATTAATCATCGCATTGCTCTAATCGGTAGAGTAGAGTCCCTTTTTAAATCAATAAACCTGTAAGAGGTGCCAAAATGAAGTCCACTTGAAGCGCGTTAAGAGCAAAACACTTCTCGTATGAAGTCGTCTAGCTCGTTTCCCATTCAGTTTACCTCAGGTTTTAGGTCGAAACGACAACACAGTATAAACCCATATACGTAAGAGCAGATATTAACATTTTAAACGACAACGATGCTGAGATACCTGCAAAACTACGGGGACCACAGATATCTGCGGTGGTACTCGAACCCGCTATTACCCTCTCAGTGGGCTAGAGAGTAGACACCAGTGGTTCGGAGCTTTGCAAAGATTTCTTTTTTTCAAAAAATTTTATTGTGGTTATATTTCACAACAAATTTTGCCATGAAAAGAGAATGGACAGCAAACAAGTAGTGACTAAATTGTAACATATGAACCGTTATAAGATCGATTTGACATGCACTCTCACTATTGACTGAACCAAGATTTTATACCTTTTTATTTTCTGCCTACTATAATTTCGCGGCAGGGTACTAAGCGAAATACAACCACAACGTTGCTGAGATATTTGCAAAACTCTGGACCGCAGGTGTCTATGGTGGGGAACGAACGCTCTATTGTCCTTTCCGGGGAGTAACGCGTTCACCACCACACCATGCGAGTCCTTTGTTTCGCCTGTCTCTCAGCTATTTGTATCGATCTTTGCCACAGCAATCACCCGTCAGCGGGATTGATCTGGGGCACCCAAATCGGCATAGAACCCAGTTAAGGACCCGTATGGTGTGGTGGTGAACGCGTTACTCCCCGGAAAAGACAATAGTGCGTTCGTTCCCCACCATAGACACCTGCGGTCCAGAGTTTTGCAAATATCTCAGCAACGTTGAACTAAGATTTTTCGAATGAAGGAGGCTCACGGCAGAAAAAATATTCATGAAATACTGAGATTATGATTGATAATCGACTCTAACACTCTGTCTGAATCTTAAAATCAAGCCAAAACGAAGGTCAGATGGAGGGCATTGCACCTGGAGAGGTTCTTCAGGGAATGTCGTACCTCCTACAATATTTCTGATAATTTCACCGCCAAGAGTAAACTGTAAAATATGTAAAATAGAACAGTGTCTGGAAAGCTTTAATTCGGGAGCCATCGACTGGAGAGGACGAACAGTGGAGACACAATGAGGAAGATCGTGAAGGCAATCCACGATGCCAGAGACTTTCAATCCAACATTGGATAATATAGCCCCCTACTGGAAATGGCATAAAAATACTCTCACTAACCTAGGGATTTGTCAAAGCTCTATTGGCACTTAAATTTCTTAAATTTAAAATCCAAGTTAAAGTAAAAGCCTTAAATTTCCATATAGGACTGATCATTACCATTATAGTGGGTATACTTTTCCTTCACAAAAGCCCGAAAGTGCAAGGAAAGACTCTTGAAAACGATACCAGCTATGACTTTTTTCACCTCATTTTCTTAGTCTACTGCCAGAAAAAGTTAAAGAATTAGGATTTAAATGAATAGAAAAATAATTAATCACAGAAAATAGAAATTAGAATTAAAAAAAGGTGGACATTGAAGGAAGAAGATCAGTAGTAAGTGAGTAAGTGAGTAAGTGACTCTCAGCGAGAGTGTGGACGCTAGACAGGCGATTCGAAAAGCCTGCTGGAAGCTTGCCAACTATATGATCAGGAAAATCACTCTCCGAACTTCAGACGGAGTAGTTACTTCACCTAAGCATAACTGAAAAGGTTAGCATCGACTTTTATTAATTTCATATCTTCGACAACCACGTCCACCCTTCTCTCCATTCCACTCCAAGGAGGTACTGTGTCACCTAAGCAGTTCTTCGTTCTGAGGTACGACATAGCACGTTGGCAATGGAATTGTACAACACCCTTTATCGAAAAGATCACATCTAAAATCTAAAATTCGTACCGCCAATCCGATTCAACATATTCGCCTAGAGTTTCAGATGGTTTGCCGGCAAGGCGGATTTCGAAAAGAGTTTACATTGAGTCATTTCCACACTGATACAACAATTATATAAAATAGCTCCAGAGTACAATATGCCGGTACTTTCATCGACTTAAGGAGAAGACCTTTGATTATGTAAAGATGGAATCGCTGAATAATCAAGTCGCCCCTATTCAACGTACAAAAATTTTTCAACAGCAAGTCAAGTTATTAGAAAATTCGTAACTGAATTTCACCTCTTTAAAACGATATCGTCATCGATGTAAAGAGCTTGGTCACTCAGCGCAATGTCATTAAAGCTATTCAGCACCACTTACTGGAATGTGTTGTGAAAATTAGTGTGGGACAAGGGTGAAACGAAAGTTGATAGACAGCACTTACAACATTCTTACAAAATTTTTTTCTGAAAACAACGTTCTTATACTATCAACGTATATGCGTGAATACATGAACGGCCCGCTCTTACTGGTTGTGCGGGCCCCAGCATAACATCCATTTTGTAGGAGTTTTGCTGGTTTAGTCATTGTGGTTCTCTGGAGTACGGAGGTCAGCCAGGCCAAAGTGCTCCAGGTTGTCACCACCACAGGCAGTCACCGCCCTTGTTGATCACAAGAAGATTTGCCACCATGCGACTAGTTTGGTAGCGGGACGGTGACAGAATGACGGAATCTGGTATTGGCTTACTTTTAGCTGAGCTTCCTGATAAAAACGCCGGACTCCTTCTCAGCTTGAAAGGCCTGCTGTGGGAACAAATTAAGTTCTATCCCCGCTGTACATCGCAGCCCAGGAACATCTCCCTCCCACGACGAGGCAGTAAACGGTTAAGAGGCATATACTATCAAGCATTTCTCTAACGAAAAAAATGGCAAGAGGTCGGTTTTTTTGGCACTCGACTCATGCTCAATAGAGTGCCTGGAGTGAATTCTCCAGCTATGCATCCTGGCACAGAAAAGTTAGCATCCTGAATGACTTAAATATAGACTTGGGCACGTGAAAGCGATCGGTTTTCAGAGTGCGGTGAGAAAGATAAAGAACACCCGGCTCCCAACCGAGTTCTCTGCTTTGCGGACCTAATGTACTTCTCCGATCCATGGACACTTTGCAAGTGAAGTGAGTGGTCAGTGTTCGGAAGAAGGCTAATAAGAATACGATGTTACGAACAAGCATCCAGTTTCACACAACTGAGAAAAGGAATCCGAACGAAAAAAATATGTCGGTGGTCAAAGCTTAGAAATGTTGCCGCCCATGCCAACATCGAAAATCAGGTTGGTTAAAGGCCTCAAGTGTCTGTACAACCAGTGGACATGAACCATCTGAAATGGGACTAAACGAGATTGGTGCACAATAACAAGACTACCAAATCAATGGCTAGGCTTCTTCAAAGATACCATGAACAAGAGATAAAATTCCCTTCTCCTGTTTCTCGAGTAAACAGAGCATAAGGAGTCATTATGGTACGGTTCAATGACAATACTTGTTGACCAACGGTTGAACAGATGACAGAAATAAATGCAGAAGTCCTCGGGTGGAAATAAGGACAGTGAGCACCATTCTCATAAATTCATGCGAACAGCACTGTATTAGGATTTGAGAATATGGAACATCTTAACAACGAGAACAAAGTAGGCAGGTTATGGAATTGTTTAAATGACGCATAGAAAATGCTTAGCATTTCCGCTTGAACCGTTTGGAGAAAGCGATGTTCAAAAACGTTTCAAAGCAACGCAGATATATTGTTTCAATTCTTGAGTGAACACAACAGAAGTGCTGATGAAATCTAACAAATAAACAAACAGCATATGAGAAAACCCTTAAGAAAGCCCTTAATCCCTTATTTTGCACAATTACGTAAGTATTACCAAAGCTAAGCACCATCACCTATTAGTATTTCGAGTAGGAGAGCTGAAAAATATTTTTAAATTCACCTAACGGCAATGAGCTTTTCTATTTCGTTGGAATAATTGTCGATGCTCCTAGTATGGAATACATTCGGCAGTATAATTTCAGTATCAATACCTTAAGCAATGGAAGTTTGCTATAAGCCATATTTGTACCAGGGGTGAGGGGACAACCTTTGTAGAAAACCCGAATTAGAGGATAACTCCTGAGACACATTGGGTACAACGAATTTGAGGCAAAAACGTCTTCAATTTTGAAACAAAATATCTCAATTAATACTAAACATTATGAGTTGGAATAAAAATCGTTAGGATCTACAGATCACTGCCTACACTACTTCATCAAAACGAAATTTTGATTTTCTGGAACCCACGACACATGCTTCCTTCAATTTATTTCCCCGTCAAGGCTAGTACTTCGAAACTGAAAGCTTTTCTTGGTAAGTCAACACGAGATCGATCAAAAACCTTGTTCGGTTAACGTTTCGGCGCCTTTGCCTTCTTCAGAACTGGAATGATCCGAGTCGATTGTCATCCATTGATCCGATTGCGATCAAGAAGACCTACATCGGAAGGAGAAACAACCGCGGAGAATCAAGTATGATCAATCATGCTCTGAAGAAGGCAAAGGAGCCGAAAAAGGTTTTAATCCATAATTTATTTAAGCGATAAAAAATACTCCATGAACAAATGGTAATCGAAGCAGTAACCTCGTCCACTACATTGACAGATCAACTACCCAGAGGCCCTGATTCGACCCCACTCCACCCCCCTTCACCCCTCCCCCAAACCTTTCATCGCTCCAGGATCGGGAAATTAGTACCAAAAATGTCCGAGACAACCCTGCTCTCTCTAGTCGCTGTCGGAACACTTTAGCGCGGTGATCTCAGGGTTCAAGGGAGAATCTACTTTAGCAGCATTTAATGAAATTGGTGACAAGGACGAAAATACTCAAAGTACGGGTTTGTGAATAGCGGATGCGAGAAAACGATTCCAGTGCTAGAAATGATGGCGTCCGCAGAGCGTGATACATCTGATGGCGGATCTATTCGATTGAGGCGATGGAGTAAAGTCTCTTCTATAAATATGCCTGCTTCTAAACTCCTCAAATACTCCAGTGATTAAGTGATTTACACATCTACTTAAAAATACCTTAGACAACCACAACCTCGTTGCATTGATATTTAAATAGCATATGCAAAGGAAATGATTGCAAAGAAAATTTACTGAAAAGAAAAACACACGCGACATGTCGTGCAGCTTCCGTTTGGAGAGAATGGCCTTGTAGCGCTGGCGGTGTCGACAGCAGGCATACAGTCAAAACGGAACAGAGTCTAAAGAAGCATTTTTTTTCCAAGAAAATGAATGAAGTTTCACATTTGTATGCCCTATCAGTTGAAAAATTTTTCTACAAGATAAGCCTGGACAATGTTCATGTTTAATACGCAAGAAGTGTTTGAGGTAAACGATACATTGAATTATTATTAAGTTTGACGTTCCTTTTGATCACGAAAGTATTAGAAACGACTGAAGAGATCAGCACTATAGGTAAGCCTGTCTCGTCGAGCACGGCTATTTTTAGATGATGTAAGATGGAAGACTATTTTTTTGCTTCTTGTTCTGCAAAGTTCAGATTTCATCGCATGTCTATTTCCTGAATGGGTGTATAGCATTTAGTGTAGTAAACAGAATTACTTCATCAAAAGATCGATAAGCATCGTCAAGACGTCGTAGTGCAGTAGCGAGACGATCAAAACATGCGTTACATCGCTTGCCACTCTCACGAACACAGTCGCCACCACGAACGCCCGCGAGAAGACGTCGCGACCAGTGGCCGCCATCTGAGCCGGCCGAGAACACCTGAACAATGTGCGTTAGTTGCAATTTTAACAGAATAAAAAACACAGCACCCATAAGGCTCACCGAGTAAAGAGAGACCGGTTGAAGATCTGGGAAGAGGAAAGTGGACTGAAGTCGACGGACTCGATCCTCTGGCGTAAGAGTACACATTTCAGATGGTGTGCGTTCCGACCACACCAAGCATTGTGCACTAGTGTTGGATCCCTTAAAGACTTGCTGCAGATTTCACGTGCTCAATAAATGCCATTTTCTAAAACGTTCACAATTTCCTTCTTTTTTTCTATTTAAGTCCTGCGAGTCAAACGATGTGTTGATGAAAAATATGTTTCATCTAAATTTTCTTAAAACAAGACGTACGAAATATTCTGTGGATCGTCATTAAAATACTTTGCAACTAGAATAAATACAAAACCTTAGATGAATTTCTCCTCATGTCTGATTATTTATAGGTATGAAGGGCCTTCTAATTAAATTCATTCATTTGACAGAAATACATGAAATGAAATGCGCACCACATGCGGAACACTTAATGAAGCAGGACACAGCGCAGAATCCGAAGTTTTGTAGGAAGACACCCCGCCACTTGCAGCAGTGCAAGCAAATAACAGTACGACGTTGACGAAAAGCGCAACCTGAAATCACAGCGAGTACAGCGAGTACAGCAAGCGAGCAAAACGCCGATCTCCGCGGAAATAGCGGAGCGACTACTCGAAAAGAGTCGCCGTGATGTTAGTCGGCTAGTTGACATCGTCTTTTTCGTTGACTTCCGTCAAATGTTCCAAGTTCTTTACATATCGGACAGCAACGGTCGGCTATAACAAAACACACCTGATAAACTCGTCTGTGTGAGACTTCGTGAGTAAGAATTGTAAGCGACAAATGGGTGGACGATGAGGATTTGTGTTGAGTTTTAACAATGGTGCAATGTAGCTGCGGCTGCATTACCGCGCGCGCTTCGGCGCCCGCGCATTTCAGGTCGGCACGACGCGTTGTGGGCGACACATGAAGCAGCCGCAGATCGCGGATGACGGGTCGTGCACTGAAAATCGCTGGAGATTATTGGTAACCGCTTCGCAGACAGCCAATTCATCAAAAATCGTTTCTGAAGAACGATGAAACGCGAACAATTCATGACCGACGTGCTATACACGAAATCGAATCTGTAACGAGAGATTTTAAAGAACAACACATCAGACGGAAATAAAACACACCCTTGCTGCGGCTTACTCCATTTAATCAACTGCCATGCTCCACACTTTCCATCAAACTTCCGTTATCAGATACGATGGTTTGGAAGAGAAATTAGCTGGGAAAGCAGAGGTTCGAAATATGCTTCAGTTTTAACAAGAAAAATATACACATATGGGATCGATCCCCGCCTCTAGGCCCACCAAAGCCTCCATCCCTTCGGGGTCGGCAAATTGGTAGCGGACTTGTCTGGAAGGATAGCAGCACTGGTTCGATGCAACGGTAGGCCAAGGCGAGTCAGTGTAAAGGCCAGATATGCATTCAATCACCTCCAAACGATGCTTAATGAAGTCGAATTCATGGCGCATCATACCTCAGGGATTGATCAACGCCGAGAGCTTTACAAAAGAACAGGCGGAGCACAGGGAAAGAGTTCAGAGCGATAGTGACATAAAGCAGAATATTTTGGTACTTGAAAAGCCCAAAATAGTTAAAGATGGTTTTGTTTCACACATTGTTTTCACCAAAGGCAGTAATCAGCACTTTGTGGATTCATGCAGCGCTACCCAGACCAATTTGATAGTAATTCACAGATCTCTAAGAGAATGAAAGCTTGGTTGGCCTATAACAGAGCCGAACCAATGACTATGCATGTATTGCCTGTTTTTGGCACTCTAAGTGAAACTCAAAAATTGGGATTCAATGTGTTTACAAAGACGCATTTGTTGAACGGCGAAATTCAGTGCCTAAGAAGTTAAGCACAAAGAAAGAAAGGAGAAATTTTAAACGAGCACATGCTGGATCATGGTAAAAATCTGATGTACAATCAAAAGTATTATAACGCATTGATAATACACGCTGCGAAGTTTTGCCAAGAGCTAACACCTACCTCTAACACTACTGCTTCCTTCCTCATTCTTTAACTTATTACTACCTTAGTGAATCAACCTCTCTTCTAAATTTCAACTCCACTTAATGTAACAAAATCGTGCACATTTCTAAATGACGCAAACAAGAGTTAGCCCTCAAAGAAACATAATGGAGGGTGGTTCTGAAAGGCGAGTGTTCGAATATATTTGCGATCGAATGCTTTTTTCAGAAATGGCCGATAATTTTTATACAAATAAAACAACTAAAGTGTGAAGAAGTCGACAGACTTACAGATTAGGTTGCTTGGCGCCTTTAAAGGCAAGTGCAATTTTCCATTTTCTTTTATGCTCTTCCTTAAAACTTCATTTTAATCTTGCTTTGGATTCTAGTTTCTAGTAAAAATTCAAAACTACTGTCTGTACAAACATCAATGATATATTCTGTGAGATAGTCGCATGCCCTGGTCGAAATACCCCCACTGGTTCAGATTCCAGCTTCAAATACGATACTCGACGAAAAAGAATGTGAAAAATTTTCCTGGCACCAAGAAATTACAATTTATGGTGTAGAACAACAAAAAATGTTTTCTTTTGGGAAATTTCTGTACGTTTTAGTGCAACCAGTGAAAACCTATAGCATTTTGGATTAGTCTGAGTCACACAAGACTCATACTGCTGCACATGTGCTCATTGTGATCACGCAAGGAGGATGAGATTTGGAATGAAAAATTCGGCGATCATAAAACAAGCAGAATCAGTTGATGATTAAATGGGCGAATTATTACATGGGTACTTTTAGCCAGAAATCAGACGAAAACTACTTCTCAATTTTTCTTAGATAAAAGTAACGAAAGATAGATTAACGCATTTTCGTAGCACTTTCTCAGACATCACTACCTTTATGTTCGTGAAGGGCAAAGCTCGACAGGAAATCACAGCCTAACCAATAGATCTACTTACCAAGCACATGGTAAATTGCAGTTATATAAATTTTTTTTCGAATTCCAACTACTGAGCAGAAAGTGCAGTTGCAACGCTGCAAAACGTGTCAAGTAAATTTAAAAGTTGTAAATAAACTCCAAGAGTAATATGTTTTGTTCAGCGTCAAACGGAGCACACTGAATGTTATCATATCGTGGTACTCTGACAGATTTCAGCTCCTCTCAGTGACTCCTGAGATCTCAGACAGAGATTTCCCAAAATGGAGTAGAGCCTAACTCTCAGATTAAGACAGTAGAAAGCCATTCAAAACGAGTGTTCGCACAAGTTTCAAACGCGGATAAGGCAGATGAGCAAATGAACGAACGACACTTTGGAGACAGTTTTTTATTAGAAGAAAATTTATAAGTAACAGTCATTTCATTAAACAACTAAGAAAACCAAATGACTTCAAATGATATACAGCCTCATTCTGGAATAAAGTTCCTACCATTTTACATATCTTTTCGGCATTAAATATAATTTTTCCTTTTCTGAAGCGTCAATTTATAAACATTTCTATTGGATTGGAATCACAAAAGTAGAAAGCAGAGTCCAATGAGGAGTCACCTCCAGCCTCACACACTTGGTTTCATTCGTTCTGTATTTGTTTTCCCTCCTCCTTTCCATGAAAGAACAAGCAACTAATCAAATGCGATCAGAGTATGACATGGTTTTTATATCTATGACGAACAAATCAGCTATTTCATGAAGCAACAACAAATAATCGCCAAGCTTGGTGTGTTGTAGTTACTGTACAAATCGTGTCTATGTGCTTAAGAAGAGTTTTAAAGGCAAAAACTCATATACCCCAGTGCATTCTTTATTCCATTCTTTCGATCATGACTGTAATCTGTTTGTGATATCTTGAGCACATAAAGTTTCTGAGCATCACATCGCCATCCACAAATCCTTTCCAGGTGGTAATATAGACGGCCCTCATGAGTCACAAACACGTTGGCCCATCATGTAGGTGTTCAGCCGAGAGGACGACATCTTTATACATCCTCTTTGAGTCCACTCCACAGTCATTTTCGTTTACCTATCTCAAAGCCTTTTCCTTATTGACCAATATAGTAGGTTCGTCGCTTTTGTTTTCAAGTGATAGCACAAAAATAAATACGCTCCCAATAAAATCAGTTTGATAGAAAAACAACTACTGAGACATAATGACGTAAAAATAAAAATCGGTACATTTAGTTTCGCACAAACGATGTAAACGAAGGCTCAAATACTGCATATGATGCAATGTAACTCTACTTTGCAGAATCACTTAAACACCATCAGGCAACGTTGTGCCAGAGGTATTTACAGGACAGCTTTAATAGCACTTATGGAAAAGGATATTCAAACTGGTAAACGAAGAAAATACGCTACTGAAGTTGGGAACCGGATATGTCAAACAAAACTATTCATGGATGTCATCGGCAGTCATACGTTTAATAAAAAACGAATACAGAGGCTGTAATCCGTGGCTGACTCTGGAAATTCCTTCATAAAGTAATGAAGAGACAGCTGTACGTAGAGGAATACTAAAAACAACTCTGAGTGCAACAAGTTTTTCTTTGAAAAGAATAGTTTCGCTCACAAGTCAGAACTAAAATCGGAACATTTTTTCACCAAGGTTATATACAAGCACGGATGTTTGCAAGCGGGAAAAGTGTAGTATTCAAAGTTAAAAATGGGGTGTTGTAACCGCTGTAGAATACACTGGAGAGATACTCTCTTCAATTAGTAATTTCTAGACGAACAACACATGATAGATCGGGTTAGAGTTTAAAAATCATAGCATGTGTCTCAATCTGATTTGTGTGCGTAGAAGTAATGGCAGAATGAAAAGTGCACGTTCGACAGGAATGGATTCAATACCGATATAATACCAATATAATACAATATCCGATTCAATGGGCCGATGCAATGTTACGAAGTGATTTCAAAGTGAAGGCGAATAACTCGAACAAATTAATACAATGACTTGAAGGAATCAAGATGCAGCCAGCAAATGAGTTAAGCGTGAACTTTTCAACTTGTTTTTTGAGCAGTGTGCTTCAAGAATGACGGCGTGATTTCGAGCTTCTCTCAGCAGCGGAAGTGTACTGCCGCGGAGAAAATGGA